CAGGATGTAGCCCAAGCCTGGCCTGTAGAGGCTTGATCTGGTGCTACATCTCTGCTGAGCCTTTAAAGCTCTGATGGAAGCATCGGTGGCAGAGCAGCTCAGCGTTTCAGATCCCACTCTCCTTGCTTTGCGTGTAATACTCTCTCCCTCTCTTCCCAGAAATACCCCATTGTCTGGCAGGGTCTGCTGGCTCTCAAGAACGACACGGCGGCCGTGCAGCTGCACTTCGTGTCGGGGAACAACGTCCTGGCGCACCGGTCGCTGCCGGCGCCCGAGGGAGGGCCCCCCCTGCGCATCGCGCAGCGCATGCGGCTCGAGGCCTCCCAGCTCGAGGGCGTCGCGCGCAGGATGATGGTGAGGGCCCGGCTGGGGCAGGGGGCATGTTGGGGAGCTCAGAGCTGCGGGGCTGGAAATCACCAGGGTTCCCCAAAACCAGGCTTCTGTCACGGGGGCTCCTCAGGGAATGGGCACGGCCCCAAGGCTGCCAGAGCCCAAGGAGCGTTTGGACACTGCTCTCAAGGATGCGCAGGGAGGGATTCTTGGGATCCTGTGCATGGCCTGGAGTTGGACTTGGTGATCCCTGTAAATTCCTTCCAATCCAGGAGATCCCTATGATTGTATTTTGGGATCCTCGTGTTCACACTGATTCCTTCAGCCCATGGAGTGTAACACGGATTTCAGATGATGAGCAATAGCTCTTCCACTGCACTTATGGAAAAGGCAGTGAGAGCTGGGAAACCTTTAAGTCACCCTGAGCCCAGGGACAAACTCCTGCTGGCTTCAGTGTGTCTGAGTAGAGTGGGGAGTTCAGGTGGCCATGAAAATCCATTTTTAGTCTTTTCCACCATGGCTGAGCTCTCAGCAAGTATTGGAATCACAGAATCCCAGACTGGTTTGGGTTGGAGGGGCCTTAAAGCCCATCCCACCCCCTGCCATGGGCAGGGACACCTTCCACTAGCCCAGGTTACCGCAGGCCTTGTCCAGCCTGGCTCTGGCCTTGGACATTTCTCGGGATGGGGCAGCCACAGCTTCTCTGGGATACAAATTGTAACATCATGGTGATGGTTTAAAGTGAGGGGTTTCCCCCATGGATAGTGGATGGATGGCTGGAGAACACCCCCTCCTCCAGCATTTCCCTGAGCCTGTCCTTCCCTTGCAGGTGGAGAGCGATTACTGCCTGCTGCTGGCCCTGCCCTGCGGCCGGGACCAGGAGGACGTGGTCAGTCAGACGGAGTCGCTCAAGGCCGCCTTCATCAGCTACCTGCAGGCCAAGCAGGCTGCAGGCATCATCAACGTCCCCAACCCCGGCTCCAACCAGGTATGGGCACAGAGCCCTGCAGTGCCACAGGGACACCAGAGCAGGCTGTAATTGCACAGGCAGCTCGGGCTTCTGCTGGATCTGCCCGGGGTTATTGGTCAAACAGCCCCCACATTTCCATCACCCGTCAAAGACATGGATGGGATCCATAAATTATGGATGGAATCCATAAATTTTTGATGGGATCAATATAATCAGTGATGGAATCGATCAAAGCAACCTCAAAGCCAAAAAAAAACCCGAATGTGTGTCTGGTGTGTTCCCAGTTCATCATCTTTGGCTGAAAGGCATTTCTCAAATGCATTTCCCAGCTCTTTATCTCTGAAGTAGAGTCTTGGTTTATTCCCCATATCCTGATTTTTCCAAGACAGATGGTGTTGTCTTGTAGAATGCATTTGGTCCTGTGGAGGATTTATTCCAGGTGTGTTGCTACACTGATTGCAATTTAACCTGCAATTTAATTCTGGGTGTAAGGAGCCCAGAATGAGTCCAGCACTTGGAGCAACCACTGAAATGATAATTAATGGGAATTTTTCTGCCTGTCCCAGCAAAATCAACCCGTGGTGTGGAAAACTCCCCACCTGGGAAACAAAACCCTTGGCTTCTTTCTTACACAAGATTTAGGATCCTTTAAGAACCCAGATCACTGAAATGTGCCATTTTTAACTCCCCACCTGGGAAACAAAACCCTTGGCTTCTTTCTTACACAAGATTTAGGATCCTTTAAGCACTCAGAACATCACTGAAATGTGCCATTTTGAAACCTCTGTGGGTGTGGGTTGCCTCTCACCCGTGGTGTTTCCCTCCCTGCAGCCTGCCTACGTTCTGCAGATCTTCCCACCCTGCGAGTTCTCGGAAAGCCACCTGTCCCGCCTGGCCCCAGACCTCCTCGCCAGCATCTCCAACATCTCTCCTCACCTGATGATTGTCATCGCGTCGGTATGAGCTGTTTACCAGTTACTGACTTTTTATTATTTTAATTTTAATTTTTTTTAATTTTTCCAAGGCCCTGCAGCAAAAAACAACTACAACAACAACAACAACAACAAAAAAAAAAGCCCACAAAAAAAACCACACAAAAAATTAATTTTAAAATAAAACTAATTCAAAAGAAGGAGAGAAGGATATGAAACAAGAAATATGCTGCCAGAAACCAGCCTCCTGCCTGACCGGCCTCGATCAAACCTTGGATGTTTACATGTTGCTTTAGCTTATGGACAACTGATGCACTCAGCAGGTGGACTGGGCTTGGGTTCCTGTGCCTCCTTTTTGGGGAAAAACACAAAAAAGAAAAAAAAAAAGAAAAAAAAAAAAGAGAAAAGGATGGCTTATTTTTTTTAACAAAAAAAAAAGGAAAAAAATAAAAACCTGAACTGCCTTTGCACTAAATTAGTGACTCGGACTTTGCACAGTTGGAGACGCTGTGACGTTCTGGATGTCTTGACACACATTGACCGCGCCGTGGACGTTCCGCAGGGACTCTGCTGAGATTTGTGGGTCAAGGAGCATTTCACAGTCATTTTTTATTTTATTGGTTGTTTCGTTGGGTTTTTTGTTGGTTTTTTTTTCCTTCTTTTGGGGTTGTTTATTTTTTTGGGGGGGGTTATTTGTTCCGGATGTGAACCTTCCTCTTCCTCCACCTGCCCCTGCTGCAGCCGTCTTCTCTTCATCTGGGATGTACAGTTTACACTGAAAAACAAGAGAATACAAAACAAACAACAAAACAAAAGGGAGAGCTTTTTTCCTTCCTGGTGGGATATGCAGAACTCAGTGGGTGTGTGTATATATAAATATATATATAATATATATAAATATATATAATACTGACTTTAAAAAAAAAAATCAAATCCCCACAACATACATTTTTTTTTAATCTGTGCCAAAAATGTGTTTTCAGAGAAAAAAAATCTTATTTTCATACTCAGACTTTGTATTGTCACTCATTTGTAAGTGCGCTTCATTTAAACATCCCCTCGTCTCATCAGCTGTGGAAGTGTTATACACTTGTACAAAGACTCTGCCCCGGCCCCCCTCGCCTCCCCTAACACTTAATTAATTTATGGAACTTGGTTTTTTTTTTTTTTGTTTTTGTTTTGTTTATTTTTGGTTTATTTTTTTTTCTCAGCGCAGTTTTGTTTTGTGTGTCCATTGGATTACGAACTTTATTAAAAAATACAAAACACGTCAGCGCCCCGACCTCGTCCCTCGGCGTGGGGAGGGGGAAGGGGAAGGAGCTTTGGGGCTGCCAGGGAGGGGTCACCCCCTCTCCCTCAGAAACAGCCAGGAAAAAAGGACATTGCATCACACTAAAGCCAGTTCCTCTGGATTTTCCTTCCTGTCTCAAATACTTGTGGAAACTGAAATCGCAGGGTTTGCCCCACTTTTACTCTCCCCGCACACCAACTCCTCGCCGAAAATTATCCCTGGATTGCTGACAGTCATCATGCTTGGAAATGTTAGAGCCAGACTTGATGTTTTTCACTGCTTTTCCACCCAAATCCCTGCCAGGTGCAAGTGGGAAGCCCAATCAAGGCTGGGGTAAATGGGTTAAAATCAAGCAGGTGTGGTAAAAAAGGAGGTTTAGGACAGAATTTGGGGAGTGGCTTCCAAAACCAAGGGAGGCCCTCCCCCTGCACCCCCAGGCTGAGGATGGGGGGTGGAACAGAGCCAGTTTTGGGATAAAACCAGCGAAAAAAGGGGCTGCTGGTGCCCCAGGATGGAGCTGGGTGTGGGGAGCCTGGCCAAGGACACCCCATAGCGACCCCCAAGTCCCACTGGGGGGGGTCAGGGTGGGACTTTGGATTCCCCCTGTTCCCCCAGGGAGGGGGGAGAGAGGCAGGACCGATGGACAGACCCCAGACACGGATGGGGCTTGGACAGATGGACACGGAGATTGCTGGGGCAGGGGGAAAGGGTCCAACCCTGCTGGCTTCGGAGTGGTGCCTTTGAGGTAAGAAGGGCATTTCTGGGGTGTTGTGCAAGGACTGGGGGGGGCTAGAGGGCACTGCCTGGGTGTCTGGCCAGGTGTGAACTGTCCGTGTGTCCAGGTGTCCATCCATCCACCCAGCTGGGCCTGGGCCTGCCCGTCCATCCAGGCCCATCCCCTTCACCCACCCATTCCATGGATCTGTGAGATGGACACACAGACATTGTACATGGATGGACGGACGGACGGACAGATGGATGGACATCCAAATGGACAAACGTATTTCCTTCTGGACAGCTGGACATGCTCATGCCCAGCCAGACACTGTGTCCAGCTGTCCGTCCATCTGGACACTGTACATCCAGCCGGACACACGGACGTTGTGTGTCCAGTGGATAGATGGACGTACGCATTCAGCTGGACAGATGGACATTGTGCATCCAGTTGGACAGCTGGACATTGTATGTCCAGTTGGACATTGTGTGTTCAGTTGGACAGATGGACATTATATGTATAGATGGACAGTTGGACATTCCCCCACCCCGCCCCCACCTCATTCCCACTGTCCCTGGGTTTGGAGTCGGGATCGGGCTGGACATTTCCACCACTCTCAGAGCCTGGGCTGGGGATGGACACAAGGATGGGCCCGGACAGACGGACACGGGGCTGTGGGGGCAGGGCAGGGGTGTGAGGGGGCGGGGCAGGGGTGTGAAATCGCTGGGTTTTGGAGCAGGGCGTTTGGGGTGAAAAGTGCATTTTTGGGGCATTTATGCCCATGGGTGGAGGCAGAAGGTGTCTGTCTGTCCAGCTAGATGTACAATTGTCTGTCCGACTGGACTTGCAGTGGTCCCTCTGTCTGGCTGTGAATGAAGCTAGCCATGTGTCCATCCACAGAACTGTCCGTGTGTCCGGCTGGACAGCGCAGCCCGTCCTGAATCCTCCAAGCCCCCCTAGGTTGGAGAGCAGGGATGAGGACAGATGGACACATGGATGGTGGCACAGGTGGGCACATGGATGGACAGGCACGTGTCCAGGAGTCCAACTGGATGTGAAACTGTGTCCAGCCCGAAGGTGACCTGTCCGTGTGTCTCTGCCACTGTCCAGCCATCCACAGAGCTTTCCACATGTCCATCTGTCCCTGCAGCCATCTCAGTGTCTGTCTGTCCTGGCTGGACATGTGTCTCCCTTCCCTCCCCACCATGGGGAGCTGGGGGCTTTGAGGGGGCAGAGCAGGGGGGGAGTGTCCAGCTGGACACACGGACAGGGGCAGATTTTGGGGCTCCTGCCCCTCCCACCTGCTGGGGGTCCTGCAGCGCCCCAGCCCCAGCAGTGGGGGGGACAAGGCTGGAGCCGGCGCTGCCCCCGGGATAGGGACAGACAGGGATGGACACACGGCCCTGAGACCCCCAGCCCCCCCTTCCCAGCTCCAGGGCCTGGGGGTCCCTTGTGGGTGTGCCCAGCTGAGCCCCAGGTCCTGGGTGGGGCAGGAGTGGCTCCCATCCCCCACCTCTATCCACCAGCACCTTTTTTCCTGTTTCTATCCCCAAAGAGGGGCATCTCCTCTGCCTCCACACCCCTCCCTCGGTGGGGGTCAGCAGGTGAGGGCCTTTTGGGGCTTTACCCCAAAAATCCCCAGCTGCTGTTCTGGATGGGGTTGAAAATCTGAAAACACCGTTTTTATCCTTTCTCATCTCATCTATCCCTGCTTTTAACACACCACACTCTCAGCAGCGATTGGAGTGTTTCAGTCCCCCCCACTGGGCTCCAGCTCTGCAGGAACCCCAAAACCTCCCCTTGTGGGGGAAGCCGCAGCCCCCTCGCCGAGCACCAACCCTTACAAAATACTGCATTTTATTCCATCTCTTTCCTTCCAGAAATACACTTTTTACACCATTTCCGAGCTGTCTCTTAAATAAAGGCTGGGCGGGGGCGGGGGGGGCCGGGGCAGCGGCCGGGGGCGGCTCGGGGCCGTCGCGGGGGCGGAAGAGGAGCTCCCCGGCGGGGATGACCTGCTCGGCCGGCCAGCCCGCGGCGCCGTAGGGCTGGTAGAAGTCGGGCTCTGCCTGGAACATGACGAGCGCCTGGGCCGTGTGGATGCGCACGTGCGTCGCCAGGCTGCTGGCGTCCAGGAACTTCTCCCCGCAGGAATCACAGGCATAAAGGATCTGCGTGTTGGGGTCTGCCGGGGGAGAGAGAAACACACAGCAAAATGGGGGAGGCACGGGGGTGGTGCGATGGGAGGAGCCAGCCCGGTTTTCCCGGCGTTCCTGGCCTCACCTGCCTCCTGCACCTGCTTCACCGCTTTGGTGATCTCAGCTTTAAGTGCTTCAGTCTCGTCCGCTGTCACCGCGGCCGCCACGGGCACCACTGTGGGAACAGGGGGGACAGGGACATTAGGGGGCCGGGACATTACGGGGGCCTGGCTGGGCAGGAATTCCCCCTCCCCGACCATGGATCCTACCCGGTGCTGAGGCTGGGAGCGGCTCCAGTGGGATGTGAGGCTGCCCAGGCCCTCGGATAAATCTCCAGCACCTTTGGGGGCTCCAGGCCCTCCGAGCTGCACCCCATGGAAAAGCCCCAAACTGCCCCCCTACAAATGAATCTCCCTTTTGGGGTGACTCTTGGGCCCCTCAAACCACAGCTCATGGATAAACCTCCCTTTCAGGACTTCCCCACTGCACCCACGCTGCTCTCCAGGGATAAGCTTCCCCTCTGGACCATCTCCAGGGATCCCCTAGGCTGTCCCTCACAGAAAAATCTAATTTTTGGGGTGTCTCCTGGAACCCCAAGCTGCTCCCTGGAGATCCAGCCCCCTTTTAGGACAGTCCTGAGATGCCCAAGCTGCATCCCATGGACAAGTTTCCTTTTTAGGGTGGCTCCTGGGACCTCTAAGTTACATCCCCATAAATTCACCTCACCTTCGGGACAGTTCCAGGCCCCTCCAGCTGCTCCCTACAGTTAAGTTTTCCTTTTTTGGGGGGGTTGGCCTCATGTAACACCCAAGCTCCTCTCCAGGAATAAAATTCCCTTTTGGGATGGCATATGGGACCTCCAAGCTACACCCCATGGATAAACCTCCTTCTCAGGACACCTCCAAGACCCCCAAGCTGCATTTCCATGGGTGCATTTCCCTTTTGGGATGCCTCCTGAGTCCCCTAAGCTGAACCCCCATAAATGAATCTCCCTCTGGAGACAATTCTGGGACCAGCCAGCTGCTCCCTATAGATAAGGTTCCATTTCAGGACAACTCCAGGACCTCCCAGCTGCACCCAGCCTTCTGGATGGCTCCCAAGCTGCCCCCCCATGGCTGAACTCCCTCGGGGAACCCCATGGGCCCCCAGCTCACCCGTGAGCTGCGTGACAGCGGTGGCAGCCAGCGCCTCGGTGGCCAATGTCACCATGTCATCGGACGCCACCGTGACGATGTTGACCTCGTCGCCCTCCTCGGGCTCCAGGATTTTGATGCCAGCCTTGCCCTGGTGCACGGTCTTCACGTGGGAGCGCAGGTTGTCCACGCGGTTGAAGCCACGCCCGCACTTGTCACACAGGAACGGCTTCTCCCCTGGCAGAGGACAGGGAATGAGGGTGGGTGAGGCGGTGATGCCCAGGGGCGGTGCAGGGCTCTGGGAGGTACCCACCTGTGTGGATGATGATGTGCTTGGACAGGTCGCCCACGTTGACGAAGGCTTTGTTGCAGACGGTGCATTTGTGGGGCCGGATGTTGTCGTGGTGACGGATGTGGTTGGCCAGCTGGCTCGACTGGACGAACCTTGGGGAATGACACCACGGTGACCACAATCCATGGTATCACCCTGGCACCTCCACCCTCCCTCCAGAGAACAGCACCTGGCCGGGAGCAGCGAGTGGAGGTGCCCCCTGATACTCCACCACCACCCAAGTGCCCCTCCCAGCATTCCCAAGGGGAATCCTCACCTCTTCCCACAGCGCTCGCACACGTAGGGCTTCTCCCCGGTGTGCTGGCGCACGTGGGCGATGAGGGAGCTCGCCTGGGTGAAGGCTTTCCCGCAGATCAAGCACTGGCACGGCTTCTCTCCTGGGGAAGCACAGGAGAAGGTGGGTGGGAGCACGAGGGGAAGGAGAGCCCTGGGGGGGCAGGAGCGTATCCGTACCGGTGTGGATGCGGACGTGGCGCTGCAGCGCGCCGGGGTCGGCGAACTGGCGCTGGCAGTGCACGCACACGTACGGCTTCTCCCCGCTGTGGATCCGCAGGTGCCGCTTCAGGTTACCTGGGAGCAGGGCAGGCTGAAGGACACCGGATCCTCCTCCCCCCTTTCCTCCTTCCCAGAGCCCCAGTAGCTCCCCTGGGAAAGCCCGGTGCTGTTCAGGGAGCAGGGACTGTGCAGGGATCAAGGGAAGTTGGCTCCACCCTGCCTGGGATCAGGCAATAACGTGGAAGTGGAGACAGCCAGGACAAGCAGCCAGTGTTTGAGGGGATCAAAAGATTCCACTGGGATCATTCTAACCCTCTGGCTTTGCAGAAGGCTGAGAGAAGATGGGAGGAGACATTCCTATCTCCAACATTTGGATGAGGATCTCCTTTCCAGGGTATGGCTCCATGGGGAAAACCAGGAATTCATGCAGCACAACGCTGGCACCGTAAAGCTGGGATGAAATCCTTCCTCTGGCTCTGATCCAGCCCCGGAATACTCCTTGTTGCCCCCAGACCATCTAAGTGCTGTCACACAGCCCCTCAGCCCCTCTCCCCCGTGTTACCTGACGTGGTGAACTGCTTCCCGCACTCCCGGCACTTCAGGGGCCCATCTGCGATGTGGATCTTCAGGTGAGCCTTCAAATTCCCCACCTGGGGATGGAGAATGGGATGGAGAGAGCCCCAAACCACCTTGTCTCCCTTCAGAGCAACCTGAATTCCCATGGATCCCTTTTGGAGTGGCCTCTGGGATCTCCAAGCTTCACCCCATAGATAAACCACTCTTTCCAAGCTCCAAGACCCCCAAGCTGCCTCCCATGAATAATCCACCCTTTCAGGACTGCTCTGGACCCCCAACTATACCTCACGGATACACCACCATCCCAGGACCACTCTGGAAGCCCCAAACTGCATCCCATGGACAAATCTCCCTTCCAGGACCACGCTGGCCCCTCTCCCCAGCGCACCTGGTTGAACTTCTTGTCGCAGTGGGGACACTTGTGCTCCTTGTCGGTGTCGTGCGTCTCCAGGTGGCGCATCTTGGAGGTGGGGTCGGAGAAGGAGCGCCCGCAGTAGTCGCACTGGTAGGGCTTCTCCCCGCTGTGCACCAGCTGGTGCCGCTTCAGGTTGCCCGAGGTGGTGAAGAGCTTGCCGCAGTCCTCGCAGCGGTAGCGGGCCTCGCCCGTGTGCCGCTTCTTGTGCAGGTTCAGCAGGCTGATGAGCCGGTAGCTCTTCCCGCACTCCTCGCAGCCGTACGGCTTCAGTGGGCTGGGATGAGGGAGGAATGTCACACCCAGCAATGGGGGGTCTCACTGCCCCAGTCTGAGTGTCACACCCAGCCAGATCCAGGAATCACGGAATGCTTGGGCTGGGAGGGACCTCTGAGCTCATCTTGTTCCATCAGACCCCATCAGCCACTAGACCATGTTGTTCCAAGCCCCAGTCAACCCTGAACACTTCCAGGGATGGGGAGTCCATGAAACAACACAAATTTGGACAATGCTCTCAGACAATCAGGATGGGATTCTGATGGTGTCTGTGCAGGGCCAGGAGTTGGACTTGATCCTTGTGGATCCCTTCCAACCCAGGACTATTCCGTGACTGTGACAGAGGCAGAAAGACAAATGTCTCCAATACACCAACACACCAGTGGATTTTCAAAGGATTCAACCATTCCCAGCAAACGTCAGATTTTTCAGGTGTCTTTCCCTGGCTCCACCTGTACCTGTGTGTCTTCTCGTGGGCCTTGCAGGCAGCCGGGTCGGAGAAGGCCTTGTTGCACTCCCTGCACGAGAAGGGCTTCTCTCCGGTGTGGATACGGATGTGCCGCTTGAAGTTCCCGGTGTGGGTGAACTCCTTCCCGCAGTCCTAGGGATGGAGGGACAGGCACTGTCACCCTGCTGTCCCCAGGGCACCCATGACACCTGGAGCCCTGCCCAGGAGCCTGGCCTCACCTCGCACTTGTGCGTGACGGAGCCGTAGGCCTTGGACTCGGTGCGGTCGCTGTAGGTGCCGGAGCGCAGCAGGCGCGGCTCCCCGGAGTTCTCCTGCCCGGAATCCGTGCTTCCCGACTCGTTATCCTCAGTGTTTTCCCCGTTCTCCAGCTGGGGAGGCTCCTCCTTGGGGATTTTACCCTCATCTTCCTCCTCCACTATCATCTCCCCCTCTTCCTCCTTTCTTTCCAGCTTCATCTCTGTAGAACGGTACAAAATGGGGAAGCTCAAATTTGGGAGTGGCACCAGAGGCACAAATCCACCTGTATTTCCTAAGGTAAAGAGACTGAGATTAGGCGTCCCCTGTCCCCAGAGAGATCACAGAAACATCTGAGTAGGAAAGGAAGTGAAAGCTCATCCATCATCACTTTTGCTTGGCATCACTTTGAATTTACAGGTGATTAGCCCCGAATTCCCAAAACCTGTGCAGGCAGAGGAGAATTTCCCACCTCTCCCCCACCTCTCCTCACTATGCTCCAGGAAAACTGCTCCCAGAGGATCTATGCCTCACAAAACTCACACAATTAATTCCACAAACAACGAGGGTTCAAGCCCTGCCCAGCTTCATCCCAGCCCCGCTCACCAACTGTCCCGGTGGTGTCCGTGGCTGCGAGGCTGCCGCTGCCCACCGCGCTCTCCGACGGCTGCGGGAGCCCGGGAACGTCGGCCTTGGGATCCTCCTGGATGGCAGCGCCCGTCCCTGTGAGCGCCGGAGTGTCAGGGCAGGGTGTGCTGGGGGTGACAGCAGGACCCAGGCTGTCACCTCTCGCTGGCTCACCTTCCTGGCCAGCCGGCTGCTCCGCAGGCACCTCAGGCTGTGCCGCGGCCTCCGGCTTCCCCTCCTTCCCCTCGGAGTCGGGAGCAGCTGCTTTGGCTTTGTCAGGCTCCCCCAGAGCTTCTGCCACCGCCGATGTCTTGTCATCAGCCGGCACCTTGTCGGCTCCTGCAAGGGAACAGGAGAACCATCCAGCTGCTGCTGCTAGCAGATTCCCAAATCCCACAAAATTCACAGAAACAGCAATTTTTCAACTGCTGGTTCTGCCCAAGAGGATCAAACCCTATCCAGGCACAGCAGATGCACCTGGGAACTGGGTTTGCAAGGTGGCCAAGAAGCACAAGTGGATAAATTTTGGACTGCATGAAGCGTAAGTGGGTAAATCTTGACTTTGCCTGGGTGAGGGGAAGCCAGGAGGGTACGTACCGATCTCAGGGGGCTGCTGGTTCACCCCAGGGGGATTTTCTGGGGGCACAGAGAGAGATTTGAGTGCGTTGCAAGCGCTGACGATCTCCTGCATCTGCAGGAAACCTGCCACGGCCAGCACATCCTCCACGTTGTCAGGGCTCAGGCTCAGCTTAGCCGTGTACATGAACTCCAGAACCTGGCCCAGGCCTGCAGGGGAGGTGACACAATCAGAAATAAGCCCTCACCCCTCACTCCTTCATTTTGAAACGAGCTGAAGAGCCTACCTCGAAGCCCGAGTTGTGTTGTTTAAGAAGCTGGGAGGGATCCTGGACAAAAAGCCCAGGCCTACCTGCAGCATTGCTGATGTCCAGGTGCACCACGTCCTTCTGGTCCACGAAGAGCATGCGGAAGTAGTCGCTGCAGGCGGCCAGCACGGCCTTGTGGGCCTTGAAGTCGATGCCGTCCACCACGAAGGTGCAGTCGCAGAGCAGCCCCAGCTGCCGCTGCTGGTTCAGCTGCTCCAGCACCTGCTGGCTGTGCTGCGGGAAATCCATGGCTGTGGGAGGGAAAAAACACCACAGGGCTGGGGGTGAGGTGTGTGGTGAAACCACTGAAGGGGTCATGGAGGAGGAGAGATCACAAAACACAACCTGGCTGCCCTCGTCGTTAAAAAACGGCCCAAAAAGGTGAATTTCAGCTCCTCTCATCCAACCCCAAACCCTCTCCTAGAACAGCCACGACTCCAGCACAGGGCTAGAAGGAGTTGACAGAACAGCCATGATGGTTTTAGCAACCATGACAACATTCAGAACACAGTTATTGCTCCTCAGCTGGTCCAAGCAGTGAGCAGGAACCCTGTCACCTCTGCAGACACAAGTGCCATCGTCCCTCCTCTGTGTCACAGCTCCTGCCAAGGCCACAGCACGGGAGTGTTCATCCAAACCTTCCAGCTCCTGCTCTTCCAGCTGCTCATGTCACGACAATGAGGAATTTTTATGTTTTATTATGTGTTTGGAGGGAGTTCTCCAGGCCTGGAGCACAGCTCTGCCTAAGGAATGCTGCAAATTGCTGGAATCATGGCAAAACCCCAATTTTCCAGCAGTTCCTTGTCAGCAAAGTGCCACACTGTGGATTTTCTCCTGAGCTGCATCCATAGGGTGAATGAAGGTTTTCACTTGGCTTTGTTTTCCAACAATGATTCCGGTGCTGAAGGGATTGTTTCTAGGGATTGGCAAGGAGGGGGGAGAAAGGAAACAGGGACTATCCAGTTATTGTTCATGCAGGAAGTCCCCAAAGCTCTGGACGCTGGAGCAGGAAGGTTACAGCTAGGGAAACACTCCTGGATTCCATGCTTGGGGTCTCTGAAAGTTTCCAGCCCATGGAAGTTGTTTTTCCACTTCATCACCTCTTAAATCAGGAGTTTCCAGTCAGGAAGGAGTTTCCAGTCAGGCACTTCCAGCTCCTGTTCCTTCCAGTGATCAGTGTTCAGAGGGAGCCTCCTCCTGTCAGCTGCGGGTGCCAGCAACTCAGGGAAGGATTTTCCTCCCAGGGATTCACTCAGCTTCCACAGGCATTCCCTTCTAGTGTGGATGAGAGGCCAGGACCTCTCTGACAGCATTGGATCACACACAGAGAGAGGAAGTTCCATTCCATTTTGTCATTGCACTGAATTCCCTGCCCTGGCTTTCCCCCAGCCCTCCAAACTCACCCAGCCTGTCCCAAAATACATCCCTGACAGCCAGAAAAAACAGTACTTGGGTCAAGATCCTGCACAGCATGGCCCACTGTGGTTTGCAAAGGTCTGAAGAAAAGGGGGAGCATTTTCCCTGTAGTGGTAAACGAGGCTGTGTTCTGTGCTTGCAGAGCTCCCTGCTCAGGAGAACCTGAGGAATCCTGACAGTTCCATGCACTAAAAGGGTATTTTGGGGAATTTGTGGGAGGCACTTCGCATCTGAACGATGATTTCTAACGTTCCAGGAATGGACTCGTCTCAGCTTTGCTCCCCAGCTTTGAGAAGGAAATAAAAATCCAGGAAACTCAGCTCCTCCCAAAAAAAAACCTTCCTATTTTCTGTAGCCTCCCCTGTAATGTCATGTTCCAGCTCCCATGGAAGGGCAGCAGGGAGAGGATGAGCTCTCTATACCCACACCCAGCAGCCAATGTCACCTTTACCCACCAAAACCCCTGACTCTGAGGTACAACAATCCCAAACACCTGGACCCAATCCCCAGGAGTGGTGCCCGAGCTCACCCCTGTGCTGCAGGGAGCAGAGATACCCAGAGGATCGAGGGCCAGAGGGTTGTGTCTCTCCTGCAGAGATTTCCCCTTTCCAGGTGTTCAGGTCAGTCTCTATGCAGCCATCCTGGGAAAAATGGGATGGAAAACCTCCATTTTAAACCTCCAGTCTTGGGTGCTGAAGGTACAAAATCCCTGATGCAGGACTGGGGATCCTCTGATTTCCCCTCAGGGGAGACAGTTCCCCTCCCGACCTCTCCCTGACGAGGCTGTTGAGTCTCTCATTATCCAATTAATCATTCAGAAGTTCATTATGAGCCCGCCCACACCCTCCACACAGATAAATACAGCAGCTGCAGTCCCTGGGAGCTTCCCACGCGAGCTCTGCTAAGCACTCTTGCTAATTAGCGACATTACCTCTCCCCTTCCCTGCCACATGAACATCTACCTATTAAAAACCTTCAAACCTCCCTAAATTGGAAAAACCAGTGAGTTAAACACTGCCTTTCCAGGCTGTCACCACCCAGCCATCCGTGCTGGGAAGATGAAAGGGAAGAGGGGGTTTGTTTCCTACCCACCGTCATCTCCCGCCTCGTGCGTCAGCTCGGGGAACAACGCGGCCCCAACCCTCGCTGCCTCTGCCCACAGGGCTCTGTCCTCATTTCCAGGAACGGATCCTGCAAGGGTTTTCATGAAAAAAGTGAAGCCTGGAGCTGATCTGAGCGGAGCAACTCCACATAATAATATGGATCATGGAACAGGGAAGGGGCGCAGAGCTTGTGGTCGGAAGCGGAAGGCGAGCTGTGAGAGGGGAAATGATCACAAAGAGGAAAAAATGTGGTGAAAAGGAAATAGAATGAGAAAGACACGAGGAGAGGGACATCCTGAACACCCCACAGGGAACAGACATCCTGAGGATTATTTGGATTTCAGGCTTATGGATGTGCTGGTGCTGCTGTGGACACCAAGACATCACCTGAGCCTGAGATCTGCCCTGAAACCCCTCCTGTGTCTGCAGCACCCAGGGATGACCAACTCTTGTCTCCTCGGGGAAAAACACCCTTTGGAATGCTGGCTGAGGGCTGCAATCTCGGCAGAAACCTCAGATGCAGAAACAAAACTAGGGAAACGCGGCAGGTCCAGGAATGTGTCACCCATGCCGGCCCGCAGAGGGCACGGACAGCCAGGAGGGGCTGTCACCTCGGCAGAACGCCAGAAGGGAGGAAAATCCTGTTTTCCTTGCGGTTTCCCCGTCCCTGAGGTGCGGGGATGTGTCTGGGGCTGCCTCGGGGCTGTGACCCCCATTCCCCAACATCGGGAGGATTTCTGGGGGGCCCGAGGGGAGGGAGATGCCCCAAGCCCGCGGGACACACGGCTTCGTCCATGGCCTCGCCCCGAGTCACCTCACGGCTGGCGGGGGACACCCCGAGCGGGGGTGCGGCCAGGAGCCCCTCGGTGCCCTCACGACAACCTCGAGCCCACTGCTCCCCTCACGACACCCAGAAGCTCCCTTCCCCTCACGACAGCTCCCCGCTGCCCCTCACGACACCATTCCCCTCAGGATAACCAGGAGCTCCCCGCTCCCCTCGCAGCAGCCAACAAGCCCTGAGGATATCCGGCAGCCCCTCGTTCCTACCGCGACAATCCCCCGTTCCCGCCACGACGGCAGGCAGCACCCCGTTTCCCAGGGCCCGCCAGCAGGACCGCCCCACCCCGCAGCCTGCCCTCAAAGAACCGGGGGCCACGCAGCGGGGTGACCCCCAAAGCGGCTCCGTTACCCCACAGGCAGCGAGCCAGGCCGCAGCCTCCTCCCCTCCCAGCGCCCGTGTCCTACTCAGCCCTCTCCCCAGCCCCTCCAGCGCTCTCCCGGGGCCCCCGTGCCGCACCTGCCATGCCGGGCCCGGCGGGGCCTCACCCGCAGCCCGCGGCCCTCACCGTGACACCGACCAGACAAAGGGCGCCGCCATCTTGGCGCCGGGCGGAAGCGGCGTCGCCCCGGCCCGCCCAGCGGCGGCAGCGTCACCGCGCATGTGCGGCGGGGCCCGGTCACCTTCCCGCCCCTTCCCGCCGCAGAGGCGCTGCCATGACAGTGGGGGGCGGGGCTGAGGGACTGAGGGCAGTGAGGGACAGAGGGGAGCTGTGAGGGGCCGGGAGGGGCCGTGAGGGACAGAGGGCAACCATGAGGGGCCGAGAGGGATCATGAGGGACAGAGGCGCTGTGAGGGACTGAGGAGAGCCATGAGGGACAGGGGAGCCATGAGGGGCTCAGAGGAGCTATGAGGGGCTGAGGGAGGCCGAGCCACAGGCAGCGAGCCAGGCCGCAGCCTCCTCCCCTCCCAGCGCCCGTGTCCTACTCAGCCCTCTCCCCAGCCCCTCCAGCGCTCTCCCGGGGCCCCCGTGCCGCACCTGCCATGCCGGGCCCGGCGGGGCCTCACCCGCAGCCCGCGGCCCTCACCGTGACACCGACCAGACAAAGGGCGCCGCCATCTTGGCGCCGGGCGGAAGCGGCGTCGCCCCGGCCCGCCCAGCGGCGGCAGCGTCACCGCGCATGTGCGGCGGGGCCCGGTCACCTTCCCGCCCCTTCCCGCCGCAGAGGCGCTGCCATGACAGTGGGGGGCGGTGCTGAGGGACTGAGGGCAGTGAGGGACAGAGGGGAGCTGTGAGGGGCCGAGAGGGGTCATGAGGGACAGAGGGGTGCTGTGAGGGACAGAGGCGAGCCATGAGGGGCCCCTTCCCGCCGCAGAGGCGCTGCCATGACAGTGGGGGGCGGGGCTGAGGGACTGAGGGCAGTGAGGGACAGAGGGGAGCTGTGAGGGGCCGGGAGGGGCCGTGAGGGACAGAGGGCAACCATGAGGGGCCGAGAGGGATCATGAGGGACAGAGGCGCTGTGAGGGACTGAGGAGAGCCATGAGGGACAGGGGAGCCATGAGGGGCTCAGAGGAGCTATGAGGGGCTGAGGGAGGCCGAGCACAGCTCGAAGGTCCCGGTGCTGGCACCACTACCGTGTTCTTCGCTAGCCGTGCTGCCAGCCACTGCGTCACCCCTGCTTAAACACCCCCGAGGTGGCGATTCCGCCGCTGTCCCAGTGCCTGACCACCCACTCCATGAAGGAATTCTCTGTAAATCTAACATAAACCTCCCTTGCCGCATCTGGATGCCGTTCCTCTTTTCCTGTCACTCGTTCTCTTGGCTCCATCCTTCTGTCAGGGAGAAGGTTCCGGTTGTTGGGAATAATACAACTTTCCTAACTAATTTTTAATTAGTTGTTTTAATTAATTGTAAGCGGCACTCACTTTCGGCAAGTACTAGTTAAGTTTCTACACAGACTCTCGTTACTCAGATCATTAATCACCAAAACCTTAAGTTTGTTAAAACTAATCCTGACAAGCTTCAATAAAGCCAAAGGCATTTGAAAATTGGATGGGATCTTCAATCAGTTTATGGCCCTTCAAGGATATTGGAGTAACCAGAAAATACAGAGGAGATTAAGACCTGGAAAGCTGGGGATTGCCCATCTGAGAAGATGATAAAAGGACTTTAGAGATCAATAACCAATAGAGGACATGCTAATTAATGAAGATAATTATGTGACCTAGAACCAATGAACATTAATTTATTTGTTTGCTTAAAGTGTATAAATAAGTGAAAAAGTTTTGTATTGGCTACAAGAGTACCCTTGATCCCCTTGATCACTGACAAAGAGTTTAAACACGTCCCAACATTTGAAAATTGGATGGGATCTTCAATTTATGGCCCTTCAAGGATATTGGAGTAACCAGAAAATACAGAGGAGATTAAGACCTGGAAAGCTGGGGATTGCCCATCTGAGAAGATGATAAAAGGACTTTAGAGATCAATAACCAATAGAGGACATGCTAATTAATGAAGAGAATTGTGTGACCTAGAACCAATGAACATTAATTTATTTGTTTGCTTAAAGTGTATAAATAAGTGAAAAAGTTTTGTATTGGCTACAAGAGTACCCTTGATCCCCTTGTCCCCTTGATCACTGACAGTTTAAACACGTCCCAAACCCTTGGGTTTTCCCCAGCTTTCCTGCCCCGAACGAGCTGCTGTGGGGTGTGTTCGGGGCCGGGCTGAGCCCTGTGCACACCTGCCCTGCCCCGGAGCGATTCGGGCAGAAATCGGGCGCTGTCCCCGGTTCCCTCCGGGTCTCTCCGCACCTCCCTGGGCCAGGGCCGCTAGATGGCAACCGGTGACCGGCGCTGGCTGCTCGGGGCCGCAGCAGCCGCGTCCCCCGCCCGGGCTCCCCGAGCCTTCCCCACCTCACCCATCGCTTTTGACCCTTTTTGCCGCAGGGGGATCGCCCTGAGCGCCGTGCCTGGGCAGCTGCCAGGCTGCTGCTGGCAGTCACGAGTGGCCGGGGCTGCCCGGGCGGAGCAGCAACACGAGCCGGGCTGTGTAGCCATAAACAGGCGCTGCTGCCCCAGCGGGCGCCTCGCTGTTGTGGGTACACACAGGGACGCGCAGCCAGGCCCTTCCTCCCCACAGAACAAGCCCTCGGATTTGGGGCCGCCATCCCGGCTCGTGCCGGCCTTGGGGCATCCCCAGCGCGCTGCGAGAGGGTGGGCGAGGGGAGGAGGAGGAGGAGGAGGGTTTGGTGCCCTTCCAGGTGGGTCGGCAGCCGGACAGCTGAGGGAATAGCTCTGAAATAGAGCTTCGGGGAAGAAATGAGTCACCCCGGGCTGGAAATAAACAGGGCAGCGGGCGCCCGAGCGGCTCCTGGTGCGGGTTTTTGTCGGGATGGCAGAATATCCCTTACCGAGACACCCCCCGGGTCTGAACCCGCGCCCCTTTTTGAGGGTAAAGCATCAGGGAAACGTCAAAAAACGGAGAAGGCGGCAGTCGGACATTCTCAATAATTTATCCCAAGCTCTATATACAAAGACAAGCTCTGGCAGAGGGCTGGGAAGGGAACCTGGCTCCCGGCAGGATTCTTGGCACGCTGGATCTCCCCCCTCCACACGCGCCAGCTAAAAATCGCCGGAGCTGGGATTCCCCTCCGGAGTTTCTCCGGTGGGTGACGTTCAGCACAGGTCTGACCCACTCTGGAGGGAGCCTTCCCATTCCCTACCCCACATCCCACCTCCTTCCCAAATCACCCATTTAAGTAGCAAGGGAGGGAAAAGAGAGGGGGGGGAAAGGAGCCCCCCGACCCCTCAGATCTTGATCTCAGTCCGGAAGGTTTGCTGGACGTGCTCGGAGTGTTTGGCCGGCCGGCGCTGAGCCCGGATGGTCAACATCCCGTTGTCCCCCAGCGAGGATGACACGGACGTGGGGTCCACGTCTTCGGGCAGCTGGCACTTGTGGGTGAAGGTGTTCATGACGGTGCCATCCGTGGCCAACTGGTAGAAAAAAATGGGTGAAAAGAGGCGATTTTGGGGTGCAAGCAGAATGGGGACTCATTATTCCCCATTATTAATTAATGGTGAATTAAACCCTGCTGGGGTTGTGGCCACAGCTGTTTGGGAATTGGGTGGGAGCTGGGCGGTCCCCACACCCCCAGCGAGGATTTTGGGGTCCCCCCGCTTTGGGGGTGAGCAGGGAAGGGAAGGAGCACCCACCTTCTCGGCATGCACCTCGATCTGGTTGTTGGAGGTGGTGACGATGATGTCCTCGGGTGCGAAGTCGCTGACGTCCACCGTGAACTGATAGGTGTTCCCCAGGGTCTTCACCACGCCCGTGTTACCGGGGCGAGCTGCTGGGCAAGGTTTGGGGGGGGTCTCAGCCACGGCTTGCCGAGGATCCCCCCCAAATGCCTCCCGGGTGCGCCCCAAACTCACCTGGGAACCCCAAGGTCTCCCCGTGGGGCCGGACAAAGCTCCCGAACAGCTCCATGGTGCCGGCGGGCGAGGATTTCACCTTCAGCCACTGCTTGCCCCCACCTGCGACCCCCAGCTCCCGCCGGGGGAAAGAGCAGAGCCCCCTTCCTCGTTCTCCTCCCGGCGAAGGCGACGCCGGATCGGTTATTTCGGGATATTTCGACTTGACGAGCTTTTTAAAGCCTCGTTAAGGCTCCCGGCCGCCTGCCAGACCTCTCGTAAAACCGGCTAAATTTAGGTCTTGCGCCGGAGACGGTGGAAATTTTTTCCCTCTCCGTTCCCCCCCAGCTCAACGCCACGGAATGCGATGCCTATTATTAAAGAATAATCATGATAATTAATTAAAATACTCATTAAATCCTCCCCGCCGCGGGATGTACGTTGGGACTGGGAGCTGGAGGGTGGTGGAGGGGGGGGGAACCCGGCTCGCTCCGGCCCGAGCGGGTCCGTCGGATTCGTCAAGGTCGTTTTTAATGAGCTCGTTTGCAAACTCAGTCGGGCAGCGGAGGCCGAGGCGGGAGGACGGGTGAGGGGTGCTACAAAAACGGGGGTGCAGTCCCCTGAAACGTCCCCGGGATGGAGCGCCCTGTCCCCGGGGGGCTGCGGGGGGAGAAGGAAGAGGAGAAGGAGGAAGAGAGGGTGCTGGTGTCAGAGCACAACTGGAGACCCTGCCCCACCGCCCGGAGAAGGGTCCGAGGTGAGACCCCCACCCAAAAAGGGGGATTCTGGGGGCGGGGGTTTTTAGGGGGTCAGCACCCTGTGTCCCCCCTCGCAGGGTGCTTGGCGTGGGTGAGGCGGCAGCTGTTCCGCGTCGGGGAGGATTGGTACTTCCTCTTCATCCTGGGGGTGCTCATGGCCACCATCAGCTTCGCCATGGACATCATCATCACCAGGATGTATGCGGGTAAACAGGGGTGCCTTGGGGGGCTCCACCGGCGTTTGGGGGTTCACCGAGTATATGGGGGGGGGTCTTTCGGGGGGTGCATTCCCCTCCCGACACCTTTCCTCCAGCCCACATGTGGCTGTACCAAGAGATCGGGGACATCGGGGTGCTCAAGTTCCTCTCGTGGACCCTGTTCCCCATGGCACTGGCCGCCTTCTCCACCGGCTTCTCCCAGAGCATCACCCCGCACTCTGGAGGTGAGCCGGCTGCACCCCGACCTCACTGGCTCCCTAAAATGCCCCCTTGGTAACGGGGGACCCCTAACATTTGGATCCGTCGTCCCCCCCCCCCCCCCCCCAGGCTCCGGCATCCCGGAGCTGAAGACCATCCTGATGGGCGTGGTGCTGGAGGACTACCTGGCCATCCAGAACTTCGGAGCCAAGGTGGTGGGGCTGACCTGCACCCTGACGTGCGGCAGCACCATTTTCCTTGGCAAAGTGGTGAGGGATCCCCTTCTGAACCCCAAAATCCCCGGCGGTTTCAGCTGGTGCCAGGGTGGGGGGGCCGCTCAGCACTGTGTCCCCCCAGGGTCCCTATGTCCACCTCTCTGCCATGGCCGCAGCCTATCTGGGGAAGATGAGGACCACGGTCACGAGGGAATATGAGGTGAGGGTGCCACTGGAGGGATGAATGGAGGGATTTGATTTTACCCCCACAAAGTTGGGGTTGTGCCTAACCCCACCCCAACTTACAGAACAAGTTCAAGCAGCATGAGATGCTGGTGGCAGCTCAAGCCGTTGGGGTGGCCACAGTCTTCGGGGCGCCCATCAGCGGTAAGGACCCCCCTAATCCCACCCTGGGCACCCCTAAACCTCGCCCTGATCCCTCTTCCCGTTTTTCCAGGGGTGCTTTTCAGCATCGAGGTGATGTCCCCCCACTTTGCCGTGCGGGATTACTGGCGCGGTTTCTTCGCCGCCACCTGCGGCGCCTTCATGTTTCGGCTCCTGGCCGTGTTCAACAGCGAGCAAGGCAAGGCAGGGCAGGCAGGATGTGCCCCCTCTTCCCCTTTACCCTCCCCCAGGACCTTTTTGGGGTGCTCATCTCCAAACCCACACTCTCATTCCTGTCCCCCCTCCCAGAAACCATCGCCGCTGTTTTTAAGAGTGACCTCAAGATTGATTTTCCCTTTGACCTCCTGGAGACCTTCTTTTTTCTGATTTTGGGGTACGGAGGGTCTGGTTTTGGGGTGCTGTCTGTGCTCTGCCTGTGCCCTACCTGCCCTCTCCTCACAGGGCCATCTGTGGGATCGTGGCCTGTGCTTATCTCTTCTGCCAGCGCTGGATGATGGTGGCCGTCAAGAGGAACCGGCTGACGGCCAAGCTCTTGGCCACCGAGTCCGTACTGGGCGTCCGTCCATCTGTCTGTCTGCACCCTGCACCCGCTGTGTCTGTGTGTCCGTGCCGTGCAGGCTCTGCGTGTCCCTGTGTCCTTCCCATACACCCTGGGTGTCCCTGTGTCCCACTCATCCACCCTGGGTGTCCCTGTGTCCCACTCATCCACCCTGGGTGTCCCTGTGGCCCCCACCCCCCATCCTGTTCACCCACTCTGAGTGTCCGTATGTCCATCCTGTGCACCCTGGCCATCCATGCATCCACTCCATACACCCTCCACATCTACCCCATGTACCCTGAGTGTCCCTGTGTCCCCTCCCTGTATCCCAAGTGTCCCTATATGCCCCTCATCCACCCTGGGTGGCCATGTGTCCACCCTGTGCATTCATATGTCCCCCCCACCGACCCTGGGTGCCCCGATGTCCCCCATGCACCCTGCCCACTAACCCCATCCACCCAGGGTGTCCCTGGGTCCCCCCATCCTTCCGTCTGTCCGTCCCCATGTGCCCAGCCCCTGTGTCCCCCTGCAGCAAACCTGTGTACACGGTGCTGGTGGTGCTGCTCCTCGCCTCCATCACCTTCCCGCCTGGGCTGGGGCAGTTCATGGCCTCCAGGGTGAGTGGGGGCACGTGGGTCTCCTTGGGGACCCCAAAACCTCCCAGCAGGGGCTCAGGGTGTCCATTTGTCCATCTGTCCATCCGTCCAGCTCACCATGAAGGAACTTCTCATCTCCCTCTTTGACAACCGCACGTGGAGCGTGCTGGCTGCCAACACCTCGGGGGTGGCCAAGCCTGGGGGGCTCTGGCAGGAGTGGGACCATCCCTCTGCCACCATCTATGGCACCTTGACCTTCTTCCTGCTCATGAAGGTAACCATGGCTCCCCAATCTCTGGGTGTGCCTCCCAACATGGTGTCCCCATGGGGTGACCCCCGTTGTGCCCCCCCAGTTCTGGATGCTGATCCTGGCCACCACCCTGCCCCTGCCAGCCGGGTACTTCATGCCCATCTTCATCTATGGTGAGTTGGGGGCTGGGGGGACATGGGGGGGGGACAGCCAGGCTGAGGGGGGACACAGGAGGGATAGACAGGCCATGGGGGGACATGGCAGAGACAGCCAGCCCGTGGGAGGGGTGCAGGGGCTTCATTCAGCCCTTGGAGTGGGATACTGGGGATGTACCCAGCCCTGGAGGGGGTACATCCAGTCTGGGGCGTGCAGGAGAGTCATCCAGCTCCAGGACAGCTGTAGGACGGTGGTCACCTCTACCTCCACCATTTTGGGGGGGCCTCCTGGGGTCTCCCCACCTTCCTTCCTCACCCCATTTTAGGAGCAGCCATCGGGCGCCTGGTGGGGGAGGTGGTGGCCCTGCTCTTCCCACAGGGGCTCCATTCAGGACTCCCACGGCCCATTATTCCTGCTGGCTACGCCCTGGCTGGTGAGTCTGGGGGTGGAGGACACCCCCACGGGCAGGGGACACCCCCACGGGCAGGGGACACCCACCCCCATCCCCTGATGCCCCCTCCCCACCAGGCGCAGCCGCGTTCTCGGGCTCGGTGACCCACGCGGTGTCCACGGCCCTGCTGGTGTGCGAGGCCACCGGGTACCTGGGCCACGTCCTGCCCACCGTGCTGGCCGTGCTGGTGGCCAACGCCATCAGCCAGAAGAACCAACCGTCCTTCTACGACGCCAGCATCATCGTCAAGAAGCTGCCCTACCTGCCCCCCATCCGCAGCCGGCACATCGCGTAAGCCCCCGCCCCAAACCCCACGTTTTGGGGGCATTCTCTGGGAAACAATGGAAATTTGGGGGTTTTGTGTTCTCCAGCTCCTACCGAGTGGTGGTGGAGGAGTTCATGGAGCGCCAGGTGGTGGCCTTGGCCAAGGGGGATGGTTTCCAGGAGGTGCTGCTGGCCTTGGACGCCACTGCCGATGCAGAGTACCCTGTGGTGGAGAGCACAGGTGGGATGTGGGACCTGGGGGGGGTCACTGTCACCATGGGGGGTGGCCAGCAACTCCCTGGCTCTGTGGTGGCCCTTCTGTGTCTCCTCATGCTGTCCCCATGGTGTCCCCCCAGTGCCCACTTGATATTCCCACACCATCTCCATGCCTTGCCCACGCTGTCCCTGTGGGGTGTTCCTGCAGTGTCCCCATACTGCTCTTATGATGTCCTTTGATATTCCCAGGCTGTCCTGTTCCCACTGTTGTCCACATGTTGTGCCCTTAATATTGCCATGGTGCCACTTCAGTACTCCCATACTGTTCCCATGGTGTCCCCATGCCATTCCCATACCATCCCCATGGTGTCTCTGCACTGTGTCTATGCTGTCCCCATGCTGTTCCTTCAATATTCCCATTCTGTCTCCATGGTGTCCCTGTGGGATGTCCCCTTGATATTCCCATACTGTCCCCATACTATCACCCTGCTGTCCCCATAGGATGTCCCCTTGGTGTCCCTAGTACCTCCTCCTGTTATTCCCATACTGTCCCCTTGGTGTGCCCCTGGTGCTCCCACACTGTCCCCATACTGTCCCCTCTCTCCAGGGTCCCCCACTCTGGTGGGCACCATCAGCAGGTCCCAGCTGGTCACCTTCCTCCAGAGCCACAAGCACCCTCAGGCCCCCCAAGAGGAGAAGGTAAATGGGGTGGGGGCACCCTACCACACCCAAAAAGCTGCTTTTCCATCCCAAAATTAACATGTCACCTTCCTGAAGCTGGCCACCGTGGGGACACTCGGGGATGACTGCGCCATCGAGCCCATCATGCTCCAGTTCTCCCCGTGGACCTCCCTGCACCAGGTCTGGGGGTGTGAAACATGTCCTGGGAGCCCCCACAGGTCTGTGTCACACTGAGGGGACACGGTGAGGGTGGCTTTGTCCCCACGTGTCCCTGTTGTCCCTTTCCCAGGTCTATCACCTGTTCCAGCTGCTGAAGCTGCAGCGAGTCTTTGTCACCCGCTCTGGGGAGCTGGTGGGAGCCGTGAGCAGGGCAGAGGTGAAAAGGGGGAAAAAAGGGGGGAAAAGGGAGGAAAAAAGGAGGCAAAAAGGGAGGAAAAAAATGAGGGAAAGGGGGGAGAAAAGTGGGGGGGAGCTGGGGGGGAAAAATTGAGACAACGAGAGGAGAAGGGAGGAAAAGGAGAAGGGAAAGTGGGGGGAGAGCCCCCCATCCCACCCCCTCTGTCCCCTTCCAGCTGCAGAGAGCAATCGAGGACCTGGCCAACCCCAAGTGATGACGTTTTGGGACCACAGGGGACCCCTCCCCACGGACATCCCCATGAAAAGAGGGGGAGTCCTGACCCCCCGGCGGTGTGGGGGGGTCTGTGCTGGGGGCGTTGGTTCTCCGGCAGAGTGTGTTGTGCATTAAACCATCGACCCATCAGTGCTTCCTCCTCCTCCTCTTTCTCCAGCCCTGCCGGTTTCTTTTGGGGGGGGGGGTCACCCCCTCCCAAACCCAAAAACAACCGCTTAAACTGCCCAAATCACCCCAAAACTGCCCAGGACATGCACTGAAGTGCCCCAGTGTCTGCGACACCCCTTGTGCCCCCATTCTAAAATTATCAGCACATAATTATCCTCATTTTAATTACTGCAATTAATCAGGGGATAAGTGCTTAGTGACCCCGAAATCCGGGGGGAGCGGGGGGCCGAGTCCCCTCAGCTCTTCGGTGCCCCCCGTAGCGCAGCGGGTTGGGCGGCGCATCGGGCGCTAACGAAGCCGTAATTAAGCCTGGGGGGTTAATTAGGCGCGGCGGGGCAGGTTGGGCAGGGCGGGCATGCCCGGGCCCGGCGCAGGACGGGTGAAGCGGGGTCAGCGCCAGGGAGACACCCCAAAAGTGGGGCAGGAGCTGGGCTGGGCTCCGGGCTGGGCGCTGGGAGCGGGGCTGGGCTGCGGCACCCACGGGAGGAGCGAGGGGAGCAGGGGAGGGGTCCGCAGCCCCCCGATCGCCCGGGTGATCAACGAGCAGCACCCCTAGCCCTGCCCGTCACCCCAAAAGCGCCGCTGTCGCCGTGCCTCAGTTTCCCCGTGGCTTCCCCAGCCCGTGGGCTCCTTGCCCGGCCTCGCCCTGGCACACAGGGGAGCGGGGGCTGCCAGGGCCCGGCCCGGGGTGCCCCCCCGGCCCGGCCCGGCCCCTCCCGGGAGCCGCCGGACTTTGAGCCGTGATCGAGGGCGGCCCCCCGGACTCGTGACAGCCACCGGCCAAAATGCCCCCAAAACGGGGTGAAAATCCCCCAAACCCGCGGCTTTCGCAGCACGCTGTTGGTCTGCCCTCACCTCCCACCCGTCCCTTATTATGGTTTGGGGCAGAAAAAAATGCGAAACCCCTTTTTTCCGGCGTTTTCCTACCCAGTCATTTGCAGGCTCCGGGCAGCCGGCGCGGCCGGGCTTTGGCTTCGGGGGAGCGGCGGGGGGTGAAAAGGCCAAATTCCTCCGGGGTTTTGCTGGGGAAAGGGGCCCCGGATGGGAAACGCTCCTGGAGCCTTGTGAAACCCCTTAAAATCCCTGATAACCCCCTAAAAACTGTAAACCCTTTAGAAAACCCCTCTTTAACTAATTTAAACCCCCTTAAAAATCCTCTTTAACCCATTTAAATCCCCATTAAAACTCCTAAACCCTCTCACTTTTAAAATCCCCTTACCCCCCCAAAAAACCCTAAATAAACCCCCTAAAAAACATTTAGCCTCCTAAAAAATAACTTTAAACCCTTTTAAAGCCCCTAACACACTCTTACAGACCCTGATAACTCCTTAAAAAACCTTAAAATGCCTAAAAACCCCCAAAACTTTAAACCTCCTTAACTCCCCCTTAATACCCCCCAAAACCTTTAAAAATCCTTAAAACACCTAAAAAACCCTTTAAAACCCTCTTACAATCCTTTAAATGCCCTTAAAACCCCTAAAATCCAGGGGAAACCCCCTCTCTTTGCCCCCCAAATACCCTCAATCTCTGTGAACCAGTGGGAAAACAATATTCTAGAAAACCAAAAAGCACATATTTTTATTCAAAACCCCACAAAAATCCCCATAAACCCATGAAAAAAAGGGGGAAAAAAACATCTGAGCTGGGTTTTTTTATTTCCCCCTTTTTTTCTCTCCCAAACTTGACATGACCTTTAATCTCTCGCAATAAATATACAAAAATAGAATAAATTAGGTTAAAAAATACAAGGCAACACTGGCAGATCAGCATTAAAGGGCAAAAAAAACCACCCAAAAACCTGGTGGGAGAGGAATAAATAGGGAGAAAAAAAGCAAAAATAAATCAGTTTTGGGACTGAGCCCTTTTTTTCTTGAAATGTGGGGGAAAAATAAGAAGAAAAATCCCTCCCCCAGTTCCAAACAAGTTTGAAATTCCATTTTTTTAGGGGGGAGGGAAGGGACAGCACCCGTTTCATCCCCAGGCGCGGGGACAATATCAACAACACTATAAAAAAACCCTTAATAATTACAGAAATAATAAATAAACCCCTCGGGGAGGAGGGGGGGTTGACGTGGAGTTCGGGGGGTTTGGGGTCAGCCCGGGGCCCCCCCAGCCCCCGCCTGCTCCTGCAGCCCCAGCAGGCTGTAGGCGATGCGCTTCTGGTGGCCCGGCAGCCGCACCCCGATCCGCTTGATGTCCCTGGGAAAGGGGAACACGGGAACACGGGGTCAGGAGTGGGGCTGGGAGGGGCTGGAGCCAGCCACGGCCACAGCCCGGCATTGGGGGGAGCCAGGAGCAGCGTCCTGGGGTGGGGATGGGTGGGGGGTGGAGACAGCTCATTCCAAGGGATGGATACATGGATGGATGGATGGATGGATGGATGGATGGATGGATGGATGGATGGATGGATGGATGGATGGATGGATGGATGGATGGATGGATGGATGGATGGATGGATGGATGGATGGATGGATGGATGGATGGATGGATGGATGGATGGATGGATGGATGGATGGATGGATGGATGGATGGATGGATGGATGGATGGATGGACGGACATGGCTCATCCCAAGGGATGGATGGATGGATGGACATGGCTCATCCCAAGGGATGGATGCATGGATGGACATAGCTAACCCCAAGGGATGGATGGACATGGCTCATCCTGAGGGATGGACAGACTGACATGGCTCATCCCAAGGAACGGATGGACATGGCTCATCTCAAGGGACAGATGGACGGATACAGCTCATCCCGGCCTCTCCAGCCAAGGAACATCTAATTTTATCCCTCGGGCCACCAAGGCCACAGAAGTGGTTTCCGTTCCCAGCACATCGCTGTCCCTCGGGAGTTGGAGGGGAGGGTATGGGGACAGTGCGGGGACACATCCTAGGGACAGCAGGGGAGTGGTGAGGGGACAGTCTGGAGTGTCAGGGGACAGGGACTCACTCGCTGGTCATCTGCAGGACCTTCTCGATGGTGCTGTAGCCCGAGGCCATGAAGGTCTCGGTGTACTGGGGCATGCGGATGGACTCCAGCCACTCCGGGACCGAGCGGAACGGGACGCCCTCGGAGCCGCTGGTGCTGGGCAGCCGGATGGACACCCTGCGGAAAAATGAGGCAAAAATAGGAAGATGCAAAAAAAGTGGTGCAGAAATGCAAGGCTGGAAAAGCAATGTGAAAACAGAAGGTCGTGAAAATGGTGAAGAAAGGAAACGATGTAATAAATTATGCAGGACTGGAGGGGTGTAAAAAAATAATACAAAAATGGGAAGGTGAAAAAACAATGTGAAAATGGGAAGGTGCAAAAAATGATGAAGAAAGGCGAGGACACAAAAATATTGTAGAAATTAAACAATGCAAAAAAACAGTGCAGGAATGGAAAGGTGCAAAAATGGTGCAGGAATGAAAGGGTGGCAAATAGAGACTGAAAGTGGAAGGATGGAAAAATAACACGAGTTGAAAAGATGCAAAAAATAATGTGATAACAGAAAGATGAGAAACTGCAGAAATGGAAAGGGGAAAAAATAACGCAGAAAACTGGAAGGATGCAAAAATAGCACAGAAATGAAATGGTGCAAAAAATGATGTGAAAGTGGAAGGTTAAAACAATGATGCAGAAATGGAAGGATGCAAAAAATTATCTGAAAATGGAAGGATGGAAAAACAATGCAGAAATGGGAAGATGCCAAAAAATAATCTGAAAATGGAAGGATGAAAAAACAATGCAGAAATGGGAAGATGCCAAAAAAGAAATGCAAAAATGAGATGAAATTGTGACACAGAAAATGAAATGCTGCAAAAAGTGGAAATGTGAGAATACCATAAAATGATGCAGAAATGGAGATGCCAGAAGCAATGAGGGAATGCAGAGATGCAAAACCCAACCCAAAACAGCACCACAAGAGTGCAAAAAATGATGCACAAAATGCGAAGATGAAAACAAAATTATGCAAAGAATGATAGAAGACACAAAGATGTGCAAGAATCAGAGAATCTCAGACTGGTTTGGTTGGGAGGGACCTTAAAGCCCACCTGATTCCACCCCTGCTATGGGCAGGGACACCTTCCACTATCTCAGGAGTCTCCAAGCCCTGTCCAGCCTGGCCGTGGGCACTGCCAGGGATCCAGGGGCAGCCACAGCTGCTCTGGGCAACTGCTCCCCTCCCTCTTCTTGCCCCCAACCCCATCCTCGGCTCCCTGCACTCACCGAGGGTCGAAATCTGCCAGTGCCTTGAGGGACTCGGGGGCGCGGATGAGCTTGTCGAGGATGCTGACGATGTCGGTGAATTTGGGGCGCCGGCAGCGCTCCTGCTGCCAGCACTGCATCATCAGCTGGTAGATGGCCGAGGGACAGTCCAGCGGCGCCGGGAGGCGGAAGCCCTCGTTGATGGCCTTCATCACCTATGAGGAGGAGGAGGAGAAGGGTCAGGGATGGTCCCCCAAAAAAAGGTGTTCATTCACAGAATCCCAGAATGGTTTGGGTTGGGAGGACTTTTATGCTCATCTCATTGCAGCCCCTGCTCTGAGCAGGGACACCTTCCACTGTCGCAGGTTGATCCCAGCCTTGTCCCACCTGGCCTTGAATGTCTCCCAAAACACAGGTGGTGGTGGAGGGTGGGCACTCACCTCGTGGTTGGAGAGCTCCCAGTAGGGCCGCTCGCCGTAGGACATCACTTCCCACATGACGATGCCGTAGCTCCAGACGTCGCTGGCAGAGGTGAACTTGCGGTAGGAGATGGCTTCGGGTGCTGTCCAACGGATCGGGATCTTCCCGCCCTACAGCGACATTGGGGTCAACCCTGCACCTCCAGAAAACCACCTCACCTTGTTCAACCACCCCAGCACAACCAACCACCCCCCTACCTTGGCCAGCCACCCTTCCATGGCCAGCCAGCCACCCCTCCCTGGCCACCGCCCTGCCGCAGTGACACTCACGCTGGTGGTGTAGGTGGCTTCAGGGTCGTCTTCCAGCACCCTCGAGAGCCCAAAATCGGACACTTTGCACACCAGGTTGCTGTTCACCAGGATGTTCCTGGCAGCCAGGTCCCGATGGACGTAATTCATGTTGGCCAAGTACTTCATGCCAGCGGCGATCCCCCTCAACATCCCCACCAGCTGGATGACGCCAAATTCGCCCTCTTTTTCCTGGGAAAAGGGGAGAATCCAGCCTGGAATCCACCTGTTGTCCCACCTCTTGGGGTGGGTGTTGGAGGTTCCACCACCCTGTGGTCATTGCCACCACATGTCACCTACCCTCAGGAATTTATCCAGCGCCCCATTTTCCATGTACTCTGTGATGATCATGAAGGGCTTGTCTGTACAAAAGAAAAACCCCAAAATAGGTAAAAACACAAAAAAAATCCCTCCAAGCCCCCCAAAAAAGGCACCCCCCTAAAATCTCTAAACCTCCCACAAGCCCTCCCAAAATCCTTAAACCCTCAAATGCCCAATGTCCTTCAAAAAAACCCAACCCCCCAAAACAACCCCAACCGCTCAAAAATTACAAAAAACCCCAACCACCCCCAAAAATCCAAACCCTACCAATTCTCCCCAAAAAACCCCATATCCCCAACTCCCCAAAATATTCCCAAAACAACAATGAAGTTTCAACTCCCTTACAGACCCAAATAAACCCCAACAGCCAAAACCCCAAAATAACTCCTCCAACTCCTCCAAAAATCCCTTAAGCTCCCCATAAAACCTCCCAAATAAACCTGAATTCCCCAGAAAAATCCCCAGCCTCATCCCCCAGAAAGACCCAAGTCTCCTGAATTCCCCTTGGTGCCGTTGCTCAAAAAACCCTGGTTTTATATAGCTTTTTTTGGGGTGTTTTGCTAGGAAATTGGGTTGGTTTTTTGGGGGGGACAGGACACAGAGGACACTCACACTTGGAGACGACGCCCTCAAGGCGGATGATGTTGTGGTGACAGAACTGTCCCATGATGGTGGCCTCGCTCAGGAAGTCCACGCGCTGCTTCTCCGTGTACCCCACCTTCAACGTCTTGATGGCCACTGGCACCTCCTTCCGACCACGCTTCAGGGTGCCCTTGTACACCTCCCCAAATTCACCTGCTCCAAAAAACGTGGGCACCCTTAGCCCTCCTGTCCCACCCCCATTTTGGGGTGTCGCTGGGGGGAAAAAGCCACGCACCTGCGCCGATGACCTTCTGGCGGGTGATGAAGGATGGAGGGATCTCAGTGGTGAACTTGAGCATGGCTTGGTTGGGGTCTTCATAAGTGTGGGGGTCAACGTAGGTCTTGAGGGGCTTCAGCTGGTCTGGGGGTGTCAAGGAGGGGGTCAGCACCCCTGTCACCCCCTGCCCATCCCCGTTGTCCCCACTGTCCCATGGCTCACCTGACTTGGAGAAGTAGACATCCTCAGCAGATTGGCGTGGCCGTGACCTCCTCCTCCTGTGGAAAAGCAGCATTTTGTGTCAAAAGATCATCCCTCGCCCATATTCGGTGGTGGGACAATGATATTTTGGGGTTTTTGGGGTGTTTTGGGGGGGGGGGGGGGTTTGTCCCCTTACCGCCGGAGGATGTAGAGGAGAATGGTCAAGAGGACAACAACGAAGATGACGCCGGCAATGCTGCCAGCGATGACGGTGGTCGATGCCATGGCCTCGGAACCTGTGGGGACCGTCCAGGTGAGCCCTGCATGCCCTGAGCCCCCACCCCCTCCTGACACCCCCTGGAGCCCCCACCTCCCACTCCTGACCTCCCCAAGCCCCTCCTCACCCTCGGGCAGGGTCTCGAACTCATGCTGGGGGCTGAAGGCCCCGTGGCCGTCGGCGGTGAGAGCCTGGACCCGAACCACGTAGGCGGTGCCTGGGGACAGTTTGGGCAGGGTGACAGAGGTGCCCTCGCAGCGCAGCACTGAGTAGCTGTTCTCATCCACCTGGGGACACAGCAGGGTGACATTAGGGTGACACGCAGGGAGGGGTGGCACGGGTGGGGCAAAGATGAGGTGATGTGGGGGACATGACATGGATGGGGCAGGGTTGGTGGTGACGTGGATAGAGGGATGAACATGGGAGGGACACAGATGGAGGCAAGGATGGAGGTGATGTGGATGGGGAGGTGACATGGATGGGGCAGGGATGGAGGTGACAGGGATGGGACAAGGATGGAAGTGACGTGGATGGGGGGCTGATGTGGATCAGGACACGGATGGAGGGATGACGTGGATGGAGATTGCATCAACAGATGTGACACAGCTGGGGGCAAGGATGGAGGTGACACAGATGGAGGTGACATGGATGGAGGGGTGGGTTTGGGGGTGTCAGGCTGTGTCACCTTCTTGCTGTAGGTGACCTCGTACTTCCAGACCCGACTCTGCTGCCGCAGTGGCACCGTCCAGGACAAGACCAGGCTGGTGGCCGTCCGTCCATCCAGGCTCACCGATGTCACCCGGGGGGGCTCTGCAGTGGGGACACAAAGGGACGTCACTGAGGTGTTCCTATAGGGGACAGGGGCACCACAGATGCGTCCCCACCATGAAGGGAAGGTGTGGGAGCTGCTGGTGTCCCCTCACCCGTCTGGTTGACGCTGATGGTGGCGCTGGCCACGCTGCGCTGGTGGCTGGAGGGGGACACCCCGTTGCGGGCCTCCACGGTGAAGGTGTAGTTGACATGTGGCTCCAGGTCGGTGACAGTGACCTCTGTCCCCGTGAGGCCCTGGGGAGGCTGTGAGAACCGGACCCCCCCGTCGCAGGGCCGGCACTCGCCGCTCTCGGGCCAGCACTGCTCGCAGGTGACGCTGTAGGTGACGTCCTCGCGGCCACCGGGGTCGGCGGGGGGGGCCCAGCGCAGCTGCACCGCAGCCCCCAACCCCAGGGCTGTGACAGCCTGGGGGGGCGAGGGGGGACCTGCAAGGGACACAGGGAGGGGTCAGGGGACAGGGCGGTGCCGTGTCACCTCAGTGAGGTGCCACCGCGGTGTTCCCCTCCGGAGGTGACTTACGGGTGCAGGGATGCTCCGGGGGGTCCTCAGGGGCCCGGAAAAATCCATCCTCGCACGGGCAGGCGGCAGCGGCGGCCGGGGCGGGCAGGGTGTGGGCGGGACAGGGCTGGCAGCTCTCTGAGGACACTGTGGCCTTGAAGGTGCCAGGGGGACAAGCTGAGGGGACACAAGGAGACACGGGTGAGATCCCAAATCCTGCTCCCCATTCACGGGATCAGCACCTGGCAGATGGGGGGAAGGACCCCCCCAAGCACCCAGAGAGGAGTTCAGGGGGCTTTGTCTCATTTTACAGTTTTTTTATTACTGGGGAGCCCTCCCAAAATGACCCCCCTCCAGGCTGAGCCCTGCTGCACTCACTGTGTGAGTGATGCTGCAGGGGAATGAACCAGGATGGAGAATTTTGGGATAATACTTCATTTATCCATAACAAAGCAGGGGTTTTAGGGTGTTTCACCTCATTTTGCAGCTTCTTATTATTGGGGAGCTCCCCCAAAACCACCCCCCTCCTGGCTCAGCCCATGATGCAGGAGAATTGTCCAGGATGGGGAATTTTGGGTCCAACATCTCATTTCTCCAGCTCAAATGGGGAATTTTAGGGTAATCTTATTTTGCAGCTGCTACTTTATTGGGATCACTCCAGCCCACCCTTCACCTGTCTGAGCTCTCACTACACTGGGGATGCTGGATGAGGCTCCAGGGGTGGGAATTTTGGAGCCTCATTTCTCCAACTCCAAATCGGGAATTTTTCAGGCATTTCACCTCATTTTTGCAGTCACGGCCCCACCCTTCTCCCAGCTAAGCCCTTCCACAATCCACTCAAGGCTGAGGATCCAGGACTGGGAATTTTTGCGGCCAAACCCCCACTCCTCTTCCCTCCCACCCCGCCCCAGGCACGCACCAAGCTGGCCCGTCCTCAGACACCCCCTCAGTTTAGCCCAGTCCATACCTTGGCAGGTGTCTCCCAGGCTCTGGAAGCCGGCCCGGCACAGGCACTCCCCGATGGGCACGAGCCACTCGCCGTCGGCGTTGCAGTGCAGGGCCGGCGCCTGCTCGGCCACCGCCTCGGCCACGCACGAGCCCCGCACCTCGGCCAAGGTCTGCGAGTCGGCGCCGGCCACGGTCTCCGGGAAGCGCGCCATGCCCCGCACCACGGCCGGGCACCGCTTGTAGTAGACGCGCACGGAGAGCAGCGCCACGCAGGCGCCCAGGTCCTGGAAGGCCAGGTAGAAACCTTTCCTGCGGAGCGGCCCCACCGACCGCACCTCCACGTTCAGCTTCACATTGCGGGCGGCAAAATCCTCCTGCACGGTGATCTCGTCCGGAGCGATGGTGTCGATCTTCCTGAACTGCCGCTTCTGGAAGTTGGTGCCGTAATCCACGTCGGACTCGGCGTAGTAGAGGTTGAAGGTCTCCTTGCAGGAGCCGCCGCCGGCCGTGGGGAAGCTGTTGCAGTCGCGCACGGTGAACTGCAGCTCGATGAAGATGCGCTGGGCCACGCCGCGGTAGATCCAGTTGGTGCGGAGCCAGTTCTCCTGCTCGCCCTCCAGGACGTTGCACACGGAGTAGATGTAGATCAGGGAGTCATTGAGCACGTTCTGCAGCTGGTCCCACTGTCCCCGGAGACAGAAATGGGGCTATGGAGGGGAACTGAGGCACTGTCCCCAGGGATGGGTTTGTCCCCATCTCGTTCCCCCTGTCCCTATCCCCATGGAGGTCCCCAGACACATCCCAGAGGTCTCCAACCCCATGGGGGTCCCCACATTCATCCCCATGGGTGTCCCTGGTCCCATGGAGAGCCCCAGCCCAATGCCAGTGGAGGTCTCCAACCCCATGGGTTTCCCTGTCCCCATGCCCATGGAGATCCTCATGACCGTGGAATGTTCCTGTGGAAGTTCCTCCCTACAGATGCTCCTGTCCCCATTCCCGTGGATGCCCGCAGGCCCATCCCCATGGATATCTCTATTACCATGGAGGTCCCCATTCACCCACCCCCATGGATGCCCTCGTCGCCATTCCTGTGAAGGTCCCCAAAGATGTCCTTGTCCCATCCCCATGGGGCTCCCCCATGGCTGTCCCCATTCCCCATCCTGGTGCCCCCATCCAAGATGCCAGATCCATGGGTGCTCACCCCTTTTCCGTAGGGATGGGTGAGCCAGCCCAGCTCCCCGTGTGCCTTGGCGAAGTCCAGCAGCACCACTGTGGGAGAGGAGAGAGGACAGGGACATCAACAGATGCCACCAGGACCCACAGACTGCTCCAGGACCTGCAGATGCCACCAATACCCCACTCTGGCCCTTGGATGTCTGTCCCCCAGGACCCACGGACGCTCCCCAGGACCCACAGATGTCCCCATGGAAGTCCCCGGGATGTGCAAACACTCCTGGGATCCACAGATGTCCCCAAAATTCATGGATGTTCTGGGCACCCACAGATATCCCTGGGACCTATGGATGCCATCAGGACCTACAGATATCCCACCAGGCTCCCTGGATGTCCTGGGCACTCACAGATATCCCTGGAACCCACAGATGCCAGGAGGTTCCATGGGTGTCCTCAAGACCCCTGGATATCCGCAAGACCCACAGATTCACTCCAAGAGCCACGGATGTCCCCAGGACCTCCAAACCGTCCCAGGCCCCAGAGGTGTCCCCTGGACCCACGGATCCCCCCGTTCCCGGCAGATTCCGCTGGACGAAGCCCCCCGGGGCCGCCCCCAGAGGCGGGGAAGCCGCGGGGCCCGGCGGGACCTGCCCTGGCATGCCGAGGGCGGCGGCCGGATCCAGCGCCGGGAGAGGAAGAGGAGGAAGAGGAGGCCGGGGAGGGAGCGGGGCCCCCCGGTGAATCACCCCCCAGGAATGTGCCCGGACGCCCGGGTTCAGCGGCGAGATGGGTCCGGCGGGACGGGGCAATTTCGGGACGGATGTGCCCCCCCAGCTCCCCCGGCTGAGCACGGACGGGCTCGCGGCGCCCCGGGAGGGTCAGGTCTGGGGGGGACCCCAAAACCTGCCTGGGGGGACCCCAGAACCTGCCTGGGGGGACGCGGGTGGCTGCAGCGTCCCCCCCGCGCCGTGCCCGGGGTCAGGAAGGATGCCGGGGCGGATATCCCGGTTTTCCTGAGGCTGGAAATCCCCCCCGCGAGCCTCCGGAGAGCGGAAAGCTGCCGGAGCCAGAGCCGGAGCGGGCGGGGGTTCCCCGCCGGTGCCCCCGGGGGTGGCTCTGGGGACAGTCCCGGGGCCGGGGCTGCTCCAGGGGCGCAGCAGCCGCGGGAGCTCCCGGGACAGCGCCGGGGCCGCAGCCCCGTCCCGGGAGTCACCTGTACCCACCGCCACCATCATCATCATCAAATTCTCCGTCGCCTTCGTCACCCGGCCACGGCCGCCCCCACCTCCAGTGCCACCGTGATGTGGCCACCAACCCTATCGCCACCCCCGCGCCCCGGAGCGGCACCCCCGTCCCATTCCCAATCCCGTTCCGGCTGCATCCTTGTCCCTGTCCGCGGCCCTGCCCTAACCCTGTCCTGATCCCAATTTTTGTCTGAATCCGAGTCCCGTCCCATTCCCGAAGTGAACCCCAATCCCATCCCCTCCGCTCCCATTCCTGTCCCCATCCCAATCCCATCTGCGTCTCAATCTTAACGAGAATCCCAATCCCAAAATGAATCCCATCCCCTCCCCATCCTCATCCCCTCGTCAATCTCCATCTGAACCCCAATCATAATCCCAAAACTGATCCCATCCCAGCCCCAATCCCGCTCCGTTCCCTCCTCTTTAACTGCCTCCCCACCTCAGCTCACCCCAAATCCCAGTGAATCTCACTGAGGGGAGCCAATCCCCCCGAAATCCCCAAATCCCACCATTCTCCCAGCACTTTCCCTTTCCCCCCATGCACTTTTAAAACCTCAAATCCCAACATTCCCTCCTGGGAAACAGCACTTTGGGAACACACCCAAATCCCACAACTGCCACAGGGTCACCCCCTCTGCTGTCCCCCCAGCATTTCCAAAAATCCTCATTTTAGGGTTTTTTACCCCATTTTCAGTTTTTAGGGAGTATTTTCTATCCCAGCCTCTGATTTATTTGCATTTGGGGCCAGATTCTTCCACCTTGCCCTCAAAAAGTGATGGATTAAAGCAGTCAAACAGAGTTTACAGAAATTCAATCCTAAAAATTTCCAGGTATACATGAAAAAGTGAATTTCCCCCTTTTCTTTTGCGCAACCCTGCTAAACTAAGCCCCAAAATCACCGGGGGAAGGGTTGTGAGGTGGAGGCCGAGACGCTGCTTGTTTTTTCCCAGCAATTTTTTGGGATTTTCCTGACATTGTTTTCCAGCTCTCCGGCCGGATCCTACCCGACCCTGCACCACCCATGGGAAACGCTCCATTTTAAGGTGATTTTCCCCTTTTTTGGGGGTTTATTTTTTAATCTCCCCCACCTTCACCTCTGTGCCAGCCTCTTTTGGGGGCTCCCAGCAGGACCTGGCCCCGGCGCGTCGGTTGGACGCTCGGCATGGGAAAAGTTGCCCCAAACTCTTGGGTTTCACCTCATTTTAGCTTTTTTCCTCCCCATTTAAATTTCTCTCTCCTCTATTCTAGTTGTCCCCTCATTTTAGCTTTCTCCCCCCTGTATTTTTATCCCCCATACACCTTTTTAACGTCCCCCCCCAATTATTTAACTTTTGCCCCTTAATTTAACTTTTCCCCTTTTAATTTAAACTTCTCCGCCCTCATTTCAACTTTTCCCCTAATTTTAACCCCCCCCCCCCCCAAACGCGCTCCGACACCTGCGGATTCCCCACCGCACCCCAAACTGTGCGGGGGGGAAGGGGGAACCCACACCACCCTTTACCCTCAGAGCGCTCCCCGACTCCTCAGCTCCCCCCAAACCACCCGAATTTACCCCAAAACCACCCCACCCTTGGGGGTGCCCGCAATAAAGGAGTTTCGGGGTGCTCCCCCCCCATAAAAAAAAAGTTGGGGACTCACCTTCCTCGGCGGCCAGGGGGCTGAGGGCGGTGAGGAGGAGGAGGGTGAGGGCCGGGAGGGTGCCCGCCATGGCGGGGCGGTTTTGGGGGGTCCCGGGCGCGCCCCACGAGCGGCGGCCCCGCGGGGAGTGCGGGGGGTGTGGGGTGCGGGGCCGCGCGCCCGCTCCTGTTCATTCATGCCCCGCTGACGTCACCGGCCACGCCCGCTCTTAAAGGCGCAGGGGCCGCTCCCAGTATGAACCAGTATGGTACTGGGACGGCGCGCGCCCCAGGGCGGGACGCGGCCGGCTGGAGGGGAGGGGGCTGTGCGAGCCCCACCATGGTGGGGCACGGCCCTGGGGGGGGGTTCGGGGTTCCCGCAGCCCCCCAGGGATCCCCCGGGCCCGGCCCCAGAGGGGTGAACGCGCCCCCCCTCCTGCCCCCTCCCCTTTCATTCATGAATCGGCGTGGGAAGGGCGGGGGGGCGGCAGCCAATGGCTGCAGGGGGCGGGACCACGCGGTTACTACCGACCACGCCCCCCGCCCACCAGTTCGATACTGGGGGTTTGGGGGGGACCGGTTTGGGGGGGCTGCCCGGGCCCCTCGGGGCCCAGCGCCCCAAATCTTCAGCACCACCGCCTTCATGGACCCGCAGCACCCAAATCCCACAGCACCCCCAATCCATCACCCACACCACCCCAAATCCCATCACCCACGGCACCCCAAATCCCGTCACCCACACCACCCCAAATCCCACAGCACCCCAAAGCCTGGATCGTCCGTTGCACCCCAAATCCCATAGTGCCCTAATCCCATCAATTCCAGCACCTCAAATCCCGCAGCAACCGTGTCCCCCTGATCCCGAAGCATCCCAAATCCTGCATCTTCCATAGCACCCCAAATCCCACAGCACCCCCAACCTCTGCAGCACCCCCAGCACCCCAATCCCTTCACCTTTAGCACTACAAATCCCCCAGTACCCCAAAGCACTCCAAATCCTGCACCCTTGTTCCCATAATCCCCCTGCAGCCACATCCCCCAACACCCCACAGAACCCAAAGCCCCAGGATCCACAACACCCCAAATCTGCCAATAGGCCCAGCACCCCGTTCCATGATCCCACTGAACCCCAAATCCCCCAGCACCTGCAGCACCCCCATCCCCAGGATCCCAGTGCATCCCACATCCCCCAGCAACTGCAGCACCCCAAATCCTGCAAGCACCCCCATTCCATGATCCCACTGAAATTCAAATCTCCCAGGATCTGCAGCACCCCGAATCCTGCAGCACCCACCTCCTGATGATCCCATTGCACCCCATATTCCCCAGTATCGTCATTACCCCAGCACCCCAAATCGCCAGTACTCCGCTCACCTCAAATTCCCCCAAAGCCCCCACTCCCCCAAATCGGACAAATCAGGCCACCCATGATCTTTTTCACAGAAAATCACTGATTTTAGCAAAAAAAGCACCTCTTTACCCCTCCCACCCCCCAAACCCACCCCGAGAGGGGGTTCATGTCGGGGTGTCCCCCGTGTCCCCCGGGGTGACCCCGGCAGTCACTTGGTCGCGCCGCCAGAGCTCCTCGACCAGGGCGTCCAGGACGGGGGCGACCCGGGCCAGCCCCGCCCGCGCCCCGCCGGCCCCCGCGGCGCCCCCCGCCCGCAGCACCCGCAGCCCCTGCGTCTCCTCGAAGGCCCGCACGTCCCCCTCCGTCACGGCCGCGTGCGGGGCCAGGTCGAATCTGGGGTGGGGAGGGGACACGGGGTCAAGGGAAACAGCAACGCCCTGGAAAATCCCCCCAGAAGCACCCGAGATTCATCGGGAGTTGTGAACACATCGCTGTAACCAGGTGGGAGTGTTCTCTGCCTGCCCAGGGACAGAGTGGTTTGGAATCTGGGGGTGCAAACCTGATTGTGGGGGGGACATAGGGTCAAGGAGACACCAACACCCTGAAAAATTCCCCCCAAACCACCTAAAGAGAAATGGGGATTGTGAATCCATTGGTGCAATAAAGTATTGCACGTTCTCGGCCTGCTGAGATAACAAGTGCTGAGAAATCTGGGGGTACAAACCTGACTGAGGGGGGACACAGGGTCAAGGGAGACCCAGAAAATCCTCCCAAAACTCCCAAAAATAAGTGGGAGTTGTGACCCAAATAAAACCCCCCTAAAATATCAGTGGGAGTTGAGGACCCATCGGTGTAATGAGAGTTGCACATTCTCAGGCTAAGGAGGTATTGAGTGGTTGGAAATCTGGGTGTGCAAACCTGACTGGGGGGGACACAGGGTCAAGGGAGACATCAACACCCCAAAAATCTCCTTTAGGACGGCAAAACTCTCTAAAAATAAGCGGGAGCTGTGAACTCATTGGTGCAACCATTTGTGCACATTCTCAGCCTGCTGAGATACCAAATGCTGAGAAATCTGGTGGTACGAACCTATTTTGGGGTGGGGGGCGGGTCAAGGAACACCTAGAAAAACCCCAAAACCCCGTGAAAATCAGCAGGAATCGGCAATCCATCGGTGTGCCATTCTCAGCCCCCGCGATGCCAAGCGCTGAGAGCCCCGGGGGTGCAATCCCCCCGCCATGGGGTGACTTTTGGGGACCCCCCAAAAGGATACTTGGTGCCCACGACCACCCTGACGAGGTGGCGGTCCCCGGGGCCCAGCACGCGGCCCATGAGCGCCGGCAGCTCCTCGAAGGACGCGCGGTCCGTGAAGGAGAACAGGAACAGGGCGGCGTCCGCCTCCTCCTTACAGGCCTGGGCACGGGGACACCCCTCACCGCGGGGTCCTGGGGGTGTCCCCCGTCCCAAAACGCGTCCCCCACCCCAAAACGCGTCCCCAGCTCACGGGCAGCAGGTGCTCGAACTTCCTGAGCGCTCCGTCCCCGCAGTCCCAGAGCTGCAGCTGGAACAGGACGGGGCGGCTGCTGCCGCGGGGCTTGGCCGGCCAGAACAGCGTGGTGGCCTCGATGCCTGCGGGGACACAAGGGACTGTCACCCCCGGGACACCCTTGTCCCCCCCGGGCCGTACCCAGGGTCTCGTGGTGGCCTCGATGCCTGCGGGGACAGCGGGACTGTCACCCCCGGGACCCCTCCGGCCGTACCCAGGGTCTCGTGGTGGGCGGGGGGCGCGGGGGTCCCCCCCAGCCAGGCCACCAGAGCTGTCTTGCCGACGCCGCTCCTGCCCGCCAGGAAGAGTTTGTAGGTGACCGTGGGGACAGCCAGCGCGGGCGGCAGCGCCGGGCGCTCCAGCAGACCTGGGGAGGGGCTCAGGGTCATTCTGGGGGCTGAGAGCCCGGCTGGGGGGCGCAGGGGGGGCACGCACCGAACACTCTCCGCTGGTTCTTGTGCAGGATGGAGTCCAGGTAGGGGCGGCCGGCGGGGGACAGGAGCCAGCCCGGCTCCAGCGCCCAGTCCTGCTCTGCCATGGGCCCCCAAACCTGGGGGACGGCGAACAGCCCCCCTTCCCCTATGGGGTCACTGCATCTGCAGCTTTGGGGTCCCCTTCTGACCCCACCCCAGCGTCCAGGGACCCTCCCTAGGATCCATAAATCCTCCATTGGGTCCCTAAAACACCCCCAGTGTCCCAGCATCCTCCCACGGGGTCCCCAAAACCACCCACAGGGTGCCTGATACCCCCCATGGGGTGCCTGCCCCCCTTCCATGGGGTCTGTGCCCTCCCTATGGAGTCCCTGACGCCTCTCTGGGGGCCCAAAGCCCTCTCTGGGGTCCCTGCACCTCCCCAGGAGGTCCCACCACCCTCCCATGGGTTCCTGGCCCCACCATGGGGGTCTCTGTGCCCCCCTGCCACGCCAGTACCCTACCACAGGGTCCTTGCCCCCTCCCCCATAGGACCCTTGCTCCCACCCTCGGGGTCCCTGCAGGGTCCCACCGCCTTCCCATGGGTTCCCTGCCCCTCTCCGGTTCCTGTGCCCCTCTCTGGGGTCCCTACCCCCTTCAGTGTCCCTCCATCACCCAGGGTGTCCCTCACAGCCCCACTCTGGGGACCTTGCCCCGCTCAGTGTCCCTCCATCCTCCCGGGGTGTCCCTCACAGCCCCACACGGAGTCCCTGCACTCCTGTGGGGTGCCTGCCACCCCTGCGGGGTCTGTGCTGCCCCCAGCTGACCCCGTGCCCCCACATCATTTAGGGGGGGGAAGGCCCAGCCCCTGTCCTCTTCCCCCCACTGTGCTGCCCCCGCTGCCCCCCAAATCTCTCCCATGCCTTGTCTCCCACACCAATTTTCCCGCGCGGGCCCTTTAAGACGCGGCTCCGCCGCTCACCTGAGGCCGCTTCCGCCTCGCCGTGACGTCACGAAAATAGGCGGAGCACAATGGAAACCACGCCCAGCCGCAGCTGCGCGTGCGCGGTGAGTTGTGGGGGCACGTGGAGTGACCCCGATGATGCGGATTTTGGGAGGTCCCCATCCCCAGCTCCCAGCACTGCCGGGATTTGGGGTTCCCAGCTGCCAGTGTTTCCAGGCTTTGGAGCCCTCACTCATCCCTAATCACTGACACTGGAATGCTCTGGGCTCCAGCACCTCTCACACTGGCAGGACTTGGGGTCCCAATTTCCAGCCCCAGCAGGCTCTAGGATCCCCATCCCCAGCTCCCATCTCCAACAGGCTGTGGGATCCCCAGTGCCCAGCACTGGCAGGATTTGGGGTCTTTATCATCAATTTCCAACCCCAACTGGCTTTGGGGTCCCTATCCCAAATTTCCAGCCCAACAGGTTTTGGGGTTCCCAATTCCCAGCACTGGGAGGCTTTGGCATCCCCAGTTACCATCTCCAGCAGTCTTTGGGATCCCCATTCCCAGTTTTCCTCCCTAACTGGGTTTGGTGTCCCTCGTTCCTAGTGCTGACAGCCTTTGGGTCCCTGTCTGTAATTCCCAACCCTGGCAGGACATGGGTCCACAATTTCCATCACAGGCAGGACCTGGGTTCCCCATCTCCAGTTCCCATCTCTGGCGGGTTTTGGTGTCCGCATGCCAAATTTCCATCCCAAACAGGGTTGGGGATCCCTGAATTCCCAGCTCCAATAGGCTTTGGGATCCCTCGTTTCCAACCCCAACAGGCTTTGGGGTCCCCATCCCCAATTTCTGGCTCCAAGAAACTTCAGTGTCCCAAATTCACTGTGTTCCCCTTCGCCTCCCTCCACTGCTCCAACACCCCCTGTACACATATTTCCCTTCTGTTACACAAAGACCCCAAATCTTCCCTTTCACCCCCAAACTTGTGGCAGTGCAGGAACTTCCCCTCCAAGTCACTCCCATCCCACCCCTCCCCAAAAGCACCAACCATCCATTTCTTTTCCTTTTTATTTGTTAAACCACTAAAAATTCGTTGGGAAGGGGGGGAGGGACCCCCATGAACCCCCCCAAAATGTACACAAGATTTTAAATATCACCGGAATCGCTTCCCATTGCTGCGCTCGGCCCGGGAGTGACGGGGGGGACACCTGAGTCGCGGCGGGGGGACACCTCGCTCACAGCACCAGCAGCTCCCGCGGGATTTGGGGACAGGGACCCAAATTTGGGATGAATCTCTCTGAAGGGCACAGAACATGCGTCTCCCGGCGGGGAACCCCGGGAGGGGAACCCCGGGAGCGGGGCAGGGTGTAAACTGGGAGAGCAGCCCTAGAGGGATGCTCTGCAGGGAGAAGGACACCAAGGTGCCATCCATCCCTGGCTTTGACTCTTTCTGGGGGATGGATGACAAAAAACATGCAAAGGGGACGTGGGGATTGATGGCGAAGCCTTGACCACCTTCCCCACGGCCACGTGTGGAGAAGGAAAATTCCACAGCTCACCCGAGGTGCTCCTGAGGTCTGGGGATTTTTGGGGTGGTGGGGGGGGGAAATTGCATTTTGCTTTCCCTTAGGACAAATCAAATTGTTCTGGGATGAACGGGAGAGGTGGGATTCGACGAGGGGTTTATTTACAGAGGTGGAAACGCCGCGGGTGAGCAAATCCCTCCCCGTCCCCACGCGGCTGGGATGGGATTTAAGGCTCCGACCGGCAGAAAGCTCAGTGGGAATGGAGAAGAAAAATTCCAGGAAGAAGGGACCACGTCATGGCGCTGCCGGCTTGGGGAGGGCTCCCTGGTTTTAGGGTGCTGGAGGTTGTTGACCAAAACCTGGCAGAATCCGCCCCATTTCCCCCCCTTGGAGGGGACAGGGAAGGAGGGGGTTGTCCCAGAAGGACGCACAGGTTCAATCCCTTCGGATTTGGATTTAATCTTTGCGGAAGGAGGCACGTGCAAAGATGAGGTGAAGTTACTGCGTCGAGGCTGCCCTCACATTTACCAGTATCTGTCCTTTTCCCTGGAAAACTGACCCTGCTCCCGGGCTCCAAGGGGCTGCTTCAGCCTTGAATGGGTTTGGGCCGTTGAATGAAATGAAACCTTTAAATCTAGAAGGGAATTAGCAGCCAAGTATCTCCGTTTTGGGGGAATAATGGGATTTTCAGAGTATTTTTGCTGGTCAGAGGGGATCAGAGCCGATCCTGAAGCCTGATCCAGCAGGGCAGGGAGAAGAGGGATGCTAACAATCAAGATTTTTGGCATTGTGACACAAAAAAATGTCCTTTCCTCCTTCTTTTGGTCCTGCCTGGAGGACAGAGAAGAAAATGGCAGGTGAGAGGCAAAATAAAAAGGCATCGTGTTTGCGTCGAGCAAAGGTTGGCAGCGCTGGGAGATTCCCAGAGGGATATTGCTGTTTTCCTGACGGAGTCGAGCATGGAATTAATCAAGCTAACAGCCTCCTGCCTGCTGCAATTTGGGTTATTCCTATAAAACCACTTTTACTCACAACCCACAAGGAGTTTCGGGGAGACCGAGACTCACAAACACTTGGAGAATAAACCCAGGAGGATCCTGGCTGGCAGAATTCCCTGGCTGCTCACCCCGAATCCTCGGGTCCTTCCCCGCCTGTAAACACGACTCGCTCGCCTGGGGTCTTACTGGGAACTGCTGGGGCAGCACTGGAGGGTTTGCTTGGACTTTTATTGGTTTCCTGCTCCCTAATTCACAGTTTGAACGCCTGCGTGTCGGGAAGGGGCTGCGGAAGGAGGAGGAAGAGCCGCAGGGACGGAGGGACGGGCGGCGGGCGGGGGCCGCATTATCTCTTTGCTCGCACAAAGTACAAGGCATTTGTTTTGGGGTAATATTTGACGTTTTGTTTCTTGTCCATCAGGCCACCGAATATGATCAGCTCCCCTCGGCCTTGCACCACCGTGTGTAAACTGGTCTCGGGCGGCCCCACCACGGAGCTGCTGTTGAACACTTTCCACTTGACTCGTCCCTGCTCCTTGGTGTCCTTAATGTCCAGCACGTACATCTGCATGGGTTTGCAGTTCATGCTCTGGTACAGCGGCTTGCCCACGTTCAGCGACTGCGGCGGGTGGTGCCCGAGGCGCCGGGCGATGGGGGGCAGCGAGTGCCCCTCGCCCTGGGTGGCACCGGGCCGCACAGAGCCCGGCTCGGCGCCCGGGGACCCCGGGGACGAGGCCAGGGGAGGGCTCAGCGCGGCCGAGGCCGAGGCGGCTTTGGAGGAGAGGGCTTTGACGGCCTCGAGGCTGCGGCGGAGCGCGCTGGGGGACACGGCCCCGGGCAGGGCGGCGTGGGGCGGGGTGTGGATGCCGTTGGTGTGCTCCGGGGGGTTCCGCGTGCCCGCTGTCCTGCCCTCCGCGCCGTCCAGCTGGCACAGGAGGGACGTGGGCTTCTGCTCCCAGCCCAGCTCCACGGAGGCCAGGCGCAGATCCCTCTGCTCCGGCAGCGAGCCCCGGCGCGGCGCCAGGGCCGGCCCCACCTTGAGGTCGAATCCCTCGGCGGCCGAGGGGGTGCTGGGGGACAGGGCCTGCACGGGGCTGTCCAGGGAGGCCCCGCCGGGCGGCGCCGCTCCGGGTGACACCGTGCCGCCGTTGAGCACCGGGGAACTGTCCCCTCTGGCCGGGGACAGGCTGCCCTCCCGCGAGCCTGACGGCGTCTGCCTGCGGGGCCGCAGGGTGCCCCAGCGGCCGTTGACGCAGGGAGCCTCGTCCGTGTTCCTGACGGGAGACTGGGAGCGGAATTCCCTGGTCTCGGGCACCAGGGCGGGCGGCGTGGCGCTGATGGGAGACGGGCGGGAGTTGAGGCTGGGGCTCAGCGGGGCTCTCCCGCTGGGAGCTTGGCTGAAGACCACGACGCACTGTCCCACCTGAGGGAGAGCAGGGAACAGACATCAGGAGGAGCCTTGGTGCTGGGGAGAAGCGTTTACGGAGCATTTTAGGCAGGGAATAAAGAGGGAGGGGTGTGTGTGAGGGAGCAGGGACCCCCTGTGTCCGTACCCTGCAGGCAGGATGGCACCACAGCTCTGGGGCTCCGTGGTCCTCGTTCTCCACCTTGAGCGGCTGCCACGTCCAGGGGTTGGCCTGCATGTGCAGCAACCAGGCGTCTTTGAACAGCTGGGGAAGGAAGGGTCACACATTAAGGAGTCTGGGCTGGCATTCAGGAGCCCAGGCTGAGATTTAGCCCAGTTTGCTGCTGGGCTCAGCCCATCAGGGCCATGGTGGGAGTGGTGCTTTGCTGCTGCAGGCAGAGGATGCTGACCCAGAGCAGGAGCTGATCACCCATGAGTGACTACACCCCACAATGGCCATGGATAAATCCCTTCACTATCCCAGTACTTGGATAAATCCTATCTGCTATCCCAGTACAAAGTCAGGGCTCATTTTGACAAGCCTCAGTGAACCCAGGGAGCTGCTCAGAGAGTGCCTGGGGTGATTTTTATTAATTAAAGCAGCTCCAGCAACAGCTAAACAAATTCTCTGGAAAATCTACCAGGTGGGTGCCCAGACTTGAGGAATAAAATGCCACCAACGTGCAGAGTCCACGCATCCCAAATCCAGCCCCCAGGTGATGGTGGAGCAGGGCATGGTGATGTCCCTGCTCCCCCAGGTACTCACTGCATTGGGACCCCCGCAGCCTCCCAGGATTAAAATGGTCTCGTTGTCTATCACGATCTGGAGGGGACAGAAGAGAGTTTCAGCCCGGGATGGATTTTTGGCCAAGCTTCCAAGGGCAGACTGAGGCAGGCTCTCACTGCACAGGTGTTGCTGGGCTCTGTGTGCCCCAGGATGAGGAGTGGAGCTGGGATGGAGCTGTTATTGCTGGGCCCAGGACAGAGTGGGATGCAGGGCTTGTCCCAAACCAGTTCCTCTCTCTGAGGAGAGCAATTGCCCTTCCCAAAGCTCCAGGGCCCCGACACCCCTCTGCAAGGGAGGGGAAGGTGGAAGGATTGTTTGGGAGGGCAGGTT